AATCCACTGCACAAGGGGTGTGAGCACACCAGGGATCTCTGGGAGATGGGACACCCACCCACCTGATTCCCCAGGGCTTTGAACTCTCCCTCACAGGCAGCCTACAGCTACCATGAGCCCCACGGGCACAGTGACAGAGGGGATGAAGGCACAGGAGTGGAGAACAGGGCTCCAAGGGTAGAGGCAGTGGGGCTGTGGGCCTGGGTTATAGGATTTGGGAAGAGTCAGTTCCAGACAGGAGTGTCCACCATTGGAACAGACCTCAGACTGCAAAGTGCTTTCACAGTCCTCACAGCGAGCCTGGGACAAGGGCAGGGCACCATTATTATTCTGACTTCACTGAAAAAGAAAATGAGTTCTAACCGGTTAACTCATTTGCTCCCAGTGACACAGCGAGTGGAGGAGCCAGAATTGTATAAGGTGATGATCAAGGTAATGCTGAATGTCTTATTCCACTGCGCTCTCTTGCCTCTAGAGCACTCTCAGAAAATTAGCCCACCTTCTCTATCCTTAAGTGACTGCTCCAGAGCTGTCAGGTTCAGGACCCGAATTTGGCACATGGTATTTCTTGATTTCTGCACCTTAAGTTTTGTTTTCAGGAAGCGTTAAGTGGCTAAAAGCAAGAAATGACAAAATAGAAGCCTTTGTGCTTCCTCAAGTTGTATAAAATTTCCCTTATAAGCGACCTTCTTATAGTGGCAGCTTTCTTCTCCTTAACATCTCCCGTTTCAGAGTGACTTAGTGCCCATGAAAATCCCTGCCGCCTGCTGAGAGTTTAGAGCTCCTAGAACATCCCATGTGGATAATCCAAACCAAAGCTATGTTAGCCTGTCTTGTCTTGATAACCTCTCAACCCTCCTTACCTTTGATGGGGCTGTCCAATTTTTAATCCTGGATTTCTAAGGTCACATTAAAGCTCAGCGTCACCAGCTTTATCTTGGCAGAATTTACACCGGCATTTTCAAAGCCCCCACTAGAATCAGGACAGCAGAGGAAACTACAATGTGAGGTTTATGTGGGGTCGTCCTGAATTTCCTTCCTTCTGTCATAGCATAGCTTTCTCAGTAGGATTAAATTTTCCTAGTGATTTTTTTTTTCTTTCATAAAACCTCCGGGGTAGAAGAGATTTGGGAGCTGTGTCATTCAAAGCGTCTGTTCTGTGCTCACCCCCTTGCCCTGTCCCACCCCACACCCCACTCCTGCTGCGTACACATAATCCAAGTGACTTCCAAGTTAAGATTAGATGCCACCAATGCCAGCGAACTCCAGACATCCAGAGGAAACCCAATCTTTGAACACCTCTTTCTGCTAGGAAAATAGCTATTATGGTCTTGATAATGTAATAATAGTAATGTTAGTCCTATCATGATAATATGGGTGCTTAGATTTAGGTTGTTGGTGGTATTAATATAGCATTGCATGATATAATATTAATATATACAACAATATTAATTTTCATTAATATTGTTATATCTACCATGTATTAATAATTATTAATCTCCCATGTGTTCCAGGCTTTTCTAAGGATTTTTTATACATTATCTAAGTCAGTCCTCACAACAACCATATGAGAATATAACCAATTCTAGTTTATACATGAGAAAACTGAGGCTGGAGAAATGAAGCCCCACTTGGCCAAGGTTTCAGAGCCAACAAGATCTGGGATCTGACCCAGACCTGGCTCCTGGCCCGCTCAGGGCTCTTTCTTTATGTTCTGCTGATGTAGAGACCATTCCTCACTTTTCTCATCTGAAGTTCGGATGAAACAAATACTACCTACATCATGTTGCTCCCAAGGAGGTTAAGTGTACTGATGTGTGTAATGCCTTTAGAAAGGTGCTGACTCATAGTAAGCCCTCAATGAATGCTAACTATTATGTGATCCAGCTGAAATGTTGCTCCACAAAATGTTTCCACTAATCAAAATTGATGCTTTCTTCTCCTAAATAATTTTTTTCCATTTCAAAGTATTATCCTCTTCATATTTTTCATTGTTACTCAGGAATAGTTCTTCATCTTTTTGTATACTTAAGTCTCGTGACTTATATTAAGATATTAAATTCGATTTCCTTAGTGGTGCAATCTGAGCTGCAAGTTTCAGAAAATGATTTTATTACAGAATTTTTATTGGTTCTTTTTTCCCTCCAAAGGTAAGTCACATCCTTTATATCACCTTCATAGTGAAAAACTTCTCCCAAGCTTTAAAAAAAAAGTCATACCTAGAAATCCTGCAAAAAATGCCAATTTCCATGACAACCAAAATAAGCGGACATAAAAAGTGCCAAATGTAATTCATACCTCTGAATTTTCTTTGGGTTCTATGAACTCATTTAAGTGATGGAAAGAAGGCCGGGGTTTGTTTGTATTTGTTTTTGTCTGCAGGCTGGGATATCTTTTCCATATACCTGTATTTTCACATTTTTTCCCTTTTTTCATTCCTCTCCTCTCTAGTCTACACACAAAAGATTAGTGTTCATAACTTGAGAGAAATGACATAGTCACAAAGTGATTGGAATGCCTGGAGCGGGGGAGAGGTGAGGAGAGGCAGAGTGAGGAGTAGAAATGGGAGCTGGAAGTCCAACCAAACCTTCTGAGAGCCTAAAAGGCCAAGCTGAGGTGTTGGGATTGTATTCCACAGCATAAAGGAGCCCTGGGTAATTTTTGAGCAGCCACATAAATCAGATCAGAACTGGGCTTTACTAAGAGAATGTCACCAGCCGTGTGGGGAAAGCTAGGTTCATTGAATGAACCTCCAAGAACTCTAGAGCAATGCTGTCCAAGAGAAATATAATACAAGCCACAAATGCAAGCCATATATGTGATTTTTAAATCTTTTGTAACCGTAATTTTAAAACGTAAAAAGAAACAAAATTAGTTTTAATAATATACTTTATTTAACTTAATTTATCCAAAATATTATAATTTTAACATGTGATCAATATAAAAATTATTAATGAGATATTTTACATTCTTTACCTCGCACTAAGTCTTTGAAATCTGGTGTTTTACACTTAAAGCAACTCGCAATTCAGACAATATCCCAAGTGCTCAGTATATTCTAAGACCACTGTATTGGACAGCACAGCTCTAGAGCACATGAGATAACAGGCATCTGGAAAAGGTCCTTGGCCTAAGCTGGAAGCAAGATCAGAGGACGGTCATTTGAGTATGCCCGGCTGCTTATTTCACCAAGCATCCTCGTGCCTGAGTTCCTTTAGAATAACCGGCATAGGAATAATTGCTGTGCCTTTAAAATAAAATATTCGTCAAATGCCAAGTGGACTTAAAAAATCCTGTTCTAGCTAAAGGTAGGTAAACTGTTAAGGTAAGTAAAATCTCAGACACTTTGCATTATAATTACAATAGTTTTAATAAGGAGTTTGAATCTTAACATTTTTCAGCTGGAAAAGCTCTTAATGATTATTTTACGAAACCTTCCAATTTTACATACGTCAGAGACTTAATACCACTCAACTAGATATTACTCCTGGGGCTGCCCAATTCTTTCCTTTTTCCAGGTTACTCTGTGTGTGTGTGTGTGTGTGTGTGTGTGTGTGTGTGTGTGTGTGTGTGTGCGCGCGCGCGCGCGCGCACGCGCGTGCGCGCTCTTACGCATAACAGAGACAATGAGAAACAAAGACAGGCAGCAGAGATGTGGTGGGGGAGGAGGACGAGAGAACAGGAGCTAAGAGGCTTTTTTAAGCTGCAAATGCCAGGACTCCACCTTGATCTACTGAATCAGAAGCAGACTCAACCAAATTAAGGTGGTGCTATTGCTAATCTGTAAGGATACCTATATTATCATTGGAAATGTCACAAAACACAGAAGATTTTTTTATAACCAAAATACCTGAAAGGGAAAGAGGGTTAGAAGGAATTCTTTATTAAGCTACTTGGAGTGTTGGCTTGGAGGGGAGCAAGAGAGGGAGAGGAGTGGGAGTAGAGAAGGATGCAAAGAGACATCCATGGAGCACGCAGAAATAACAGCCACTGAACTCCTTTAACAGAGAGAGGGCCCAATGGACTGCTGGGTTTTTGGCTGCTGTTGTGTATGTATAAAATTTGGAGATGGAACCCAGTTGCCATAGTAAGAAAAGGTGAGGTTGAGGGTGTGTCAACTGTCTCCTTCTTCACTTTCCCCTTATCAGCAGCATCTTCTCTTCCGAAGAAAAGGGACCGGCCCAGAGGTGTAGTGGTTGAATTTGCATGCTCCACTTCGGCGTCCTGGGGTTCGCAGGTTCTGATCCCAGGCACAGACGTACACACTGCTCATCAAGCCATGCTGTGGCGGTGTCCCACATACAAAATCGGGGAAGCTTGGCACAGATGTTAGCTCAGGGACAATCTCCTTCAAGCAAAAAGAGGAAGATTGGCAATGAATGTTACCTTAGGGACAATCTTCCTCACCGAAAACAAATAGAAAATATTTTATAATATTACTTTAGGCACCAATTTATTGGTCTGATCATAATATTGAACTACAAGCTGTCCTGAGACACTCACATTTACCGGTTTTGACCCAGCTAGGGATGTGTAGTTTATAAAGCTCTCCAGATGATCTGTTCTGAACTCATCCTCACCAAGGTGAAAACCATTATAGCACTGCTTCCTAATTTTAACCAATCACCTGGGGATTTGTAAAAATGCTTGTTTGGAGTCATAGATCTGGGATGGAGCCCCAGAGTCTGCATTTCCAACAAGCTTCTGGGCAATGCCTATGCTGCTTGTCTGCGGACCACACATTGAATAGTAAGGCCCCGGGAAATCCAATATTTGTCTGAACAAAGTAATAGAAGCGTCCTTAGGTATTTCCTCCTTTTACACACTGTATTCTTGGCTTTAAAGCCAGTAGTTCCCTTCCCTCAGAGCACAGTGGCCTGGAATTTGAAAAGAGATGAGGATTTAAGAGATCACAGGAGCCTGTGTTGCAGATCCTGCCTAGGAGCACACCTTTCCTTTGAGGCTTATCTGTTTTCATCTTTTCGCCTCTCTGCCTTTAGGTGTCTAAGCTTGAAAGAGAGAAGACTCAAGAGGCGAAGAGGATTCGTGAGCTGGAGCAGCGCAAGCACACGGTTCTGGTGACAGAGCTGAAAGCCAAGCTCCATGAGGAGAAGATGAAGGAGCTGCAGGCCGTGAGGGAGAATCTCATCAAGCAGCACGAGCAAGAAATGTCAAGGACAGGGAAGGTGCGGGACGGGGAGATCCAGAGGCTCAAGTCAGCTCTGTGTGCTCTCCGCGATGGCAGCAGTGATAAAGTAAGGACAGCGCTCACCATCGAGGCCCGGGAGGAGGCCCGAAAACTGTTTGATGCAGAGCGCCTTAAGCTCTTACAGGAAATTACGGACCTGAAAACTGCCAAGAAGCAGGTGGATGAGGCTCTAAGCAATATGATCCAGGCGGATAAAATCAAGGCTGGGGACCTTCGGAGTGAGCATCAGTCCCACCAGGAAGCCATCTCGAAGATCAAGTGGGAGTCGGAGCGGGATATTCGGAGGCTGGTTAGTAATCCAGTGCAGTGAACCCGTGCAGACCCATTGTCTTTCCAGGTTTCAGAGCGCCCTAGGGTTTGCTTTCTCAGGTGTTTCTTGTGAGTGGATTATACACAGTGCCCACCTTTTGTCTAGTGCTCTGTCCAAAACACAAGTTGATAGGTAGATAGGTAGGTAGGTAGATAAATAAAACAGATATGCCCAGGCCCAAACTGGAATTGTAAAACATAAAAGATTTTGGAATCACCTTTCTCATAAAAACTGGATTCTTCCATCCCCGTACATATGGAGAGTATCTACTCAATGACTCCTGTTTTCTTGAATGTCTATAAAAATATTCTGAATTATGCACTCTTCCAAAATCAGCATGTTTTCATGGACTTTCCATTTATAAAATGTTGTTGGGTTTTCCAGGGGTAGGGAGAATTACTTTGGCTTTCAAGATGTCTGAAAAGGGCAGCTGCTGGGAACATCCTGAGTGATTCACCAGTCTTCTTTCCAGGAACTATGTCTGAAAGCAATAAATACAGATATAAAATCCTTAGTAATTTTTTAAATAGATCTTTTTTCCTCAAATAAACAAGGCCATTATAATTTTTAAATTGGATGTCATTCCTAGGTAGCTTGTTTGCCATTACCAATTTTCAAGATTTACCTCGACCCCTATGGAGTCGGGTCTTTCTTTTTAGTGTGTATGACCGAAAGCCACATCAGTCTCTCACTATGCTTAAAAATAAAACAAATATAATTACTGTGTGAAAGCTGTAATGTCCTAGAATAACTTTGTCCATTTCTTTTAGAAGAAACTGCATATATACTCAGAATGTTTAGCATTAGTTATATTTTAGTTATATCTTATCAAATTAACCATCGCCTGTTAGAGTGTGCTTTATGCTTCCCTAAAAATATTTTCTTAGGAAAAACTACACTTTCCCTCATTTCTGCCTATTCTAAGCAATTATTTTCTAAGAATTTTAATTATATTCCTTGGATGATATCTCTAGAATTTCAATTCTAAGTAAAAAGTGGTTACCATAAACATTTTAAAAAGCTAAATGTGTAAATTTCTTTGTACTGCAATACAGTGTGACTGTAAGAGGTTGCCTTTGCCACGCTTCCCTAATTCTTTATCTGCCATTCCTTCTGTTGCACTGGTTGGCAATGAAGACCAAACACAGTGCGGAAACGTTGGTTTCTGCCCTGCCTTTGGTTTTTGAAATGACAGTGGCTGATGAGAAACAATCAGGACCATGAACTCTGGAGTCAGCAGGTAGGTCAGTGAAAAGAAAGCTTTACGTTAAATATTTTTGTTTGTTGATGGTTTGCCATGTAAAATACGAGTGTATCTACTTATTGATCTGTAATTTTTTCCATGACTTCCTTTCACTGGCACATTGCTGACATAGACTTGAAGTCCCTCCTAATAACAATGTAAAATCTAAGCCACCTGAAGAGTGGTTCAAAAATTGGGTGCAAATAGAATAACATGGGAAACTTCTTCAATAATATAGATGCACTTGTCTTCATTTTTTCCTTCTTATCCTGGTACTACCCCTACACCCAACTCCATTTTTGGAACTGGAAGGGAGAGAAATGGGAGCCGTTCTGTCTACAAAATTTCCCCAGGGAATTCTGATACGTACCCCTTCCCATCTAAGAACTAGAACTTTGAAAGATTTTCAGTATTCTAAAACCAGAATCCATGCTCATAACCACTCGCAATAAAGACTTCTCTACTGGATATTCTACCAAAAACTGCTTTGGGAATTGCTGGAAGTATATGGATAATCTTGGAGTAGGTATAGCACAGTGCTTAATAGAATGGGCTCTAGAGTCAGAAGAGTAAATTTAAAGTCACGCTTCACCATTATTAACCATAAGACTATGACCAAGTTTTTAACCTTTTGGGTCCTCAGTCATCATGTGTAAAATGGTGATAGCAGAACCTACATAATAGGATTGTTATAAAATGAGATAAGGTATGTAAATCTCTGAGCATAGTGCCTTGAGTATAGTAAAGATAAAGAAATTTCAGTTATGATGATGGTGATAATGAGGATGATTGTGTGGGGAGTAATGGAATGATTTCCCAGCAAGGTCAGTTAGGTAGGGTATATCAGGATCAGCTAGGAGCATGCAGATCTGGAGCTGTGATAAATCGTAAATCACACCAGAAAGGATAGGTCTATTGCATGAGTGTGCTACTCAGTTAAGAACAACACTGGACCTCAAGTCTTCAAAAGGAGATAGAAACAAAAGACAATGCTTTTATTCCCAAATTAACAGGACAGTGTTTGCTTACTCACCAAGTTTCAGATATCACAGGACCATGCAGAATTTAGCCCAATGCCCTCCCAAAATTCATCTAAAATTTAATTATGTGACTTGGAGACAGTAGCTCACAGATATTTATATGTGGAAAAATGTGACTATGTAAAGAAACACAGTTTCTGTCCCAAATATATATATTTTTTGGTCTAAGGAACACAGCAAAAAAAGATTTATGCAAACTGATTTGTTCTATATAAGGAGACATTTTTATAAAGAGGAGAGCAGTATAATATTGTTTGTATAAAATGTCTCTACCCTCTCTCCATCTTGAATATTCTCATAGAATATAATGAAATGAGAAGAAAGGTTTCACCTGATGGCTATACTCTCTTCAAAAATTATTTACAGACATTCACATCACTAGCCCTCATCCAGGGATGGCAAAAAACTTTTCAGTCCAGTGGAACTCTGATCAATCGATATCAAATGCTTATGGCCTCTAGTTGAGAAATATTTCCGAGTCCGTGTCCAGGCTTAACAGAAATGAGTGTTGGGGTCAATAAATATATCCCACAGATGTAGGAGGGGAAATAGTGGCTGATGTTACCAGATATTTTCTATTCCTGTTCTTGTCCCAACCATGATTTTCTGACTAATGTAAAATGGTTGTAAGAACTGGCTACTCTGAAATATGAATTGGAATGGAAAGAGCCACATGACACGAACCATGGAAGGACCTCACTCCAACTTCACCACCTGAATGCAACACACTGGCCTTGGGCAGTGCCTAGGCTACTGGAAGGTCTGAAGCTTCTTCAGTTGCAAATGACCTATTCATAGTGGCTCCTTCTATTTAAACTGAACTCAAAGGCCATTTTCCCCAAACAGGAAGTAACATCAAAAATTGTCCTGGGGAACGTTGTAGTGGAATATTTAATATCTGTCTTTATTAACACTAATGACCCATTTTAAAGTTAACCTTTCCTCTCCTATCCAACCAACCCAGATCATCTCAAACAAATTGAAACAAAGCGTCAATCCAAGATACACTAGAGAGGAAAAAATTACTCTCCTGACACCTAATTAGCCTACGATAGCCCTTCATTACACAGTGTGGCCTTGTCTGATTCATGAATTCAATATTTTTGTCATATTCATGATTTTCTTTCTATATCAATCAGCAGAAAGAAGGTAAACTCATACCGTTGTAAAAATGCATTTCTTTGCAGCATTGTTAAATAAAATGTCCTGGGTGTCATTTAATTCAGATGGATGAAATCAAAGCCAAGGACAGGATCATCTTTTCCCTGGAAAAGGAACTGGAGACCCAAACCGGCTATGTACAGAAACTCCAACTGCAGAAGGACGCTTTGGATGAACAACTCTTTCTGGTCAAGGAGGCTGAGTGTAACATGAGCAGTCCGAAACGGGAAATTCCAGGAAGAGCAGGAGATGGCTCTGAGCACTGCAGCAGCCCAGTAAGTCTGTTCAAGTTGAAGTTAGGAACGCAGGAGTCATCTTTTATTTAGCTCCCAAGTTTTACTTTTCACTTAAGCTCTTCTCCTGTTTACTACAAAGAAATCAATTCTACCTCCTACTATAAAAACAGCTAGTGCCTTGGGAACAGGGTTTTCTAAACTCCTAGATGACAAAGTGGTCTGCACTGCATTAGCAGATCACAAGAGAGTTACAGATCTTTTTAAATCCTTCATAGAATTTTTCTAGCCCCATGATATCTATCCAAACTTCAGCCTATTATAAGAATCATAAATTAGATGAAAATACTTTGCCTCTTGCCAAGACTGGTAATTTTCACTTGTGTGAACAATTGAGTTGGAAATTGGTAAAGATGGTTATCATGTACAGGAGTCAAAATGTATAACTGTATAAAAGACTAAGCCATTTACAGTCATCATCTGAAAGCTTCAGTCTGATTGAACTTGCCATTTATTTCCCTTGATTTTCACCATTTTATATGAGAAATTATTTTCAGAAGTGCTGTGATAGAAATCAGCTTATATACAGTTGACTTTCATATCTTATACCTTTCAAATTATTTAGCGGCTAAAAAGATGAAAATGTATTATTTAGGAACAGAGATAGGCTCCAAAATAGTGCTTAGGACAGAGTAATGAATAATTTATGAATCGATCTTCAGGATATATATATATATATCCCAGTAGGTGGTGGAAGGAGTACTGAACTAGGGTTTAGCAGATGTTAGTTTTAGGTCTGTTGTTGACACTTACCTGCAGTGTAGCAAAATTGTCAAGAAATGGGCTCTAGATTCAGACCCTTTAGTCCAAATCCTGGATCTGCCATTTCCTGTGTGACCTTAGGTAAATCAGTTCATTGCTCAGAGTTTCCTCATCTGTAAAATTGAAGCAATAGTGGTACTCCATAAGGCTGGTCTCAGGTTTAGAAAAGATAATATGTAAAATGCTGAGCACAGGGTCTGCCACACAGTTAGCATTCAATCCATATTAGTTATTGATCTATTGATAGTAGCCACAAGACCTTGAACGAGTTATGACCTCCTTGGATCTTACCTGTTCTGCTGAATCCTCTAGGATATTGTTAATCTAGGGATATAATGTGTATGAAACTGCCTTGTCAACAGTACAGCACTATCAAAATGTAAGATGGTAATGGAATTGCAAGTGTATAATGGTCCTATGGACTCTAGAGCATAGACTTAATCCATGACTGCTGTGTGTAAAGTGATCCATGACAATTATGCCAGTGGGAAAGCCAGTTGCTCTGGGCAAAATATACCAGCAAAGGCTATCCTGTAATCTACTGCTTTTTATACATGAAGGCAATGCACCAATCTTCTCACTCTGACCTTTTTCTTCAGGAGTATGCAGGAATTTACAAAGCCCGTCCCTACCTCCTACTCTATCCTCTCTTTGGCTAAGTGTAATAGCAGGACATCTGTCTAAGCTGTGGGAAGCAATGTGCAGCCATGACACCAGGAATGCTCCTTGAGCCTCATGTAATCACAACATGACCTTGGTCTCACAGCTCACAGATCTGAAAAGATGATCCAACCATCTACCCCTCCCGCTGCCAGGAGTCAGGGCTCCAAGGAGCATCTGCCACATGGAATTCATTTGCAGTTTCAACCAGGCTTGGTCTTAAACCCAAGTGGTGAATAGTGGGGGTTAGAAGAGGGTAAATATTTACTCCTCTCCGAATAAGAGAACATTTTACTCTCACCTCAAGCCAGATGAAAGCAACTGAGCCTATCACTTTTATGAGTGGTATCCCAAAACTTTGTGAAAAGGTGTAATTGAAGAAATACCCATTTTAATTTTCGTGTGTAGGATTTGCGAAGAAATCAAAAGAGAATAGCTGAATTGAATGCCACTATAAGAAAATTAGAAGACAGGAATACCTTGCTTGGAGATGAACGAAATGAATTGGTGAGTTCTAATCAGAATTTTTTGTTTTATTTTTTTGTTAAGCATTTTTTTGTAGAAGTATATATGATGTTTAATATAATAAAAATGCAGAGTAATAAAAGTACAGCCTAATAAACATGCCCAGAGTGATGCACCCATATAACCACCACCCAGATGAATAAGTGGAAGACTACCAGCATCTCAGAACCTCCCCTTCTTGTGACTTCTCCCAATCACCATCCTTCTAAAGTTAACCACTGTACTGAATTCTATCTCTACAGATATCTATTGCCATTTTTAAAATGTGTTGTGAATGAGATCATACGATAATCACTCTTTTGTGTCTGGCTTTTTTGCTCAGCATTACATTTGTGAGAGTCATCCCTTGTGTGGCATGTAGAATTCATTCACTTTCTTACTCTATCATATTCAATAATACACCACAGTATAATTATTCTTCTATTGTTATGGACATTTATGTTGTTTCTTAACAGTTTTAAGCTGTTAATGGTGCTGCTACATGTCTTTGGTGAGAAAATGTGCTCATTTCGGGTGGGAACATACCAAGAAGCAGAGTCACCGGATCACAGAGTATGCATGTAGTCACCTTCTGTGGCTATTGCCAGTTTTCCACAGTTATGACAATTACATTCTCAACAACAACGCGTACGAGTTGCAGTTTCTCCATATCTTTGCCAACATGCAAAGATCATTGATCATTTTAGTCTTTTTGGTGGGTGGGAGGTATATTCTTATTGTAGGAATTTAATTTTTCTTTTCCTTCTTAATAATAAGGTTGCATAATTTTTCAAGTATATATTGGCCTTTTCAGTATCCTGAGTGATTTACTCTTTGTCTTTTGCCCATTTTGTTTTGTGCTGCTTTTATTTTCTTATTAATATTAGGAATTTTTTACATCATTTTTGGACATTTATATGTAAAATATGCTCTGTGTCTTATATTTTACATTCTTAATAATCATATAAAGAAGTTATTTTCAGCATTTTCTTTTTTTAAATATGTGCATTTTAAGTCATAAATGTCTCTCTAAGCATGGCTTTAGCTTCATCCTAAAAGTTTTTTATGTCATAATGTATTTCTATTTAATTCAAAATCTTTTCTAATATTATATAATTTCTTCTTTGACCCATGGGTCACTTGGCAATGTATGGCTTAATTTCCAAACATTTGGAGGTTTTTGAGTTATCTTTTTGTTATTGATTTCTACCTTACTTCCACTATAGTCAGAGAACATACTTTGTATTATTTCACTCCTTTAAAATTTGAGATTTGTTTTGTGACTCCAGCATATGGTCAATTTTAGGAATGTTTCATGTTCACGTGAAAAGAAGGTATACTCTGCAATTATTAGATGCATTTTGAGTCAAGTTTATTAATTGTCTTGTTTAAAATCTTCTATATCTTTACTGATATTTTTGTTTGCTGTTCTCCCAACAGATTTGTCCATTTCTCTTCTTAGTTCTGTCAGTTTTGCTTTATATATGTTACTAGGTACATATAAATTACAATTTGTTGTATGTCTTCATCATTATGAGTTTTTTTTATTTCTAGTAATACTTCTCGACTTAAAGTCTTTGATATTAGTTGAACTATATCACATTCCTTTTCTTTTAGTGTTTCATGAATATGTGTATTTACTTTCAACCTTTATTGTATTTCAAGTATATCTTTTTAAAGGAACATTCTGTTGGGTACTATGGGACAGTGGTTATTGATGTATGGTATGGTAGAATTACAGATATTTCCTTTTCTTTGTGTTTATCTGCATTTTCTAGAAATAGCATGTACTAAGTAAATTTAAATATTTAAAACCCTTGTCATTGACCTGCAGAAAAATGACAAAGTTAAAAATAGTGAACTTAGTGGAATAGTTTATTTGTCCTTGTATGTACTCAGTGTTTAATATTAATGCTTCAGGTACTGAAGCTCAAAACTGAAAATTAAGTGAGATTATTTATGAAAAATAAATTCAGTTTTTGTCTTTGATATAAAATGTGAGCTTTCAAATGGCAGTTAGGATAGAGTTGGAGAATACCGTTTTAGAATCACAAGGGAAGCTTTTTCAAATATTCATAGAGAGCTATGTCTCATACCTCAGCATTTCCCAAAATGTTAGAGTCTCAAAAACAGGAGTAAGTACTTTAAACAATCTTTTCAGATATTTCTGGTATGCCCGTCCACTTTCCTTGCTTTGGTACCCCATCCCATATACATACTCACATTCAGAATCATTAGTATGAAATGAATTAACTAATCATGAGAACTTTAACATGGAAATCCATTATGTATAGAGTGCCCATAAAATATGTCATCCAAATAGGAGAGTTTTGAGAGTAAAAGGGGGAACTATTAACAATTACCCCAAGACAGCATTCATTAACTTAGACCAGTGATTCTCAACTCAAGGCAATTTTGGCAGTATCTGGAGACATTTTTGGTTGTCATAACTGGGAGGGTGGTACTGGCATCTAGTGGACAGAGGCCAGAGATGCTGCTAAACGTCCTACAGTGCACAGGACAGCTCCTCACAACAAAAAATATCTGACCCCAAGTGTTCGGAGTACAGAGGTTAAGAAATGCTGCCTTAGCCTAATTGGGCAAACCAGAGTATGGTCACTCTTAATTATGGGTGGGTAACAGTACAATCATACTTTTCCTAGGTTTGGTGAGAATTAAATGGTCTTTTTTTTTTTTAATTTTTTAATTTTTATTTTTTTTTATTTTATTTATTTTTGTTGTGAGGAAGATCAGCCCTGAGCTAACATCCATGCTAATCCCCCTCTTTTTGCTGAGGAAGACCAGCCCTGAGCTAACATCTATTGCCAATCCTCCTCCTTTTTTTTTCCCCAAAGCCCCAGTAGATAGTTGTATGTCATAGTTGCACATCCTTCTAGTTGCTGTATGTGGGACGCGGCCTCAGCATGGCCAGAGAAGCGGTGCGTCGGTGCGCACCCGGGCTCCGAACCCTGGGCCGCCCGTAGCGGAGCGCGTGCACTTAACCGCTAAGCCACGGGGCCGGCGTGAGAATTAAATGTCGTTAAACACAAGTGTCAACAGAGTTTTGAAAGTATGGTTTTATTTTTTTCTCCATATAACTTTCCTAAAAATAAACAGCCTTAGTGTGAGGAGACTTAGCAAGATCTCTGATGGAAAGAACGGGCTTTGGTGACAATCAGACTTGGATTTGGGTCTTGGTTGCATTGGCTGAGTGACTGTGTGATTCGGGTGAGCTGCTTTATCTCTCTGAGCCAATGAGGGGTCATTCCAGGCCGAGGGAGAGGTATGAGCAGTGTGGGATTGGGGCTGAGCATAGTGGGATAACGGCTGGAGGAGTCAAGAGGGAGCAAGGAGTGCAGTCACTTTTCCTGAGCATTCCCAAAAGCAGAATCTCAGCAGCACCACCTATAAGGTAATAGACTGACATAGCGTTTTAAAGACTATGATGAAAAGCCCTTAGAGGAAACTGAAAACAAAGCAGCCTGTTAAATGAAGGATTGAAATGTCGGTGGTCAGTCCTGAGACACATAGTGAAGCAGACGAAGGTGATCCCAGATGGGGCTTCACCCCTACCGATTTACTCCCTCTCCCCCCACATCCTCTCAAACACGAGAGACGAATTGTAACTTATGTCTTCCCAGTTAAAACGCGTGCGGGAAACTGAAAAACAATGTAAACCTCTCCTGGAAAGGAACAAGTGCCTCGCCAAGAGAAACGATGAACTGATGGCGTCTTTGCAGCGCATGGAAGAGAAATTGAAAGCTGTGACCAAGGAAAATTCAGAAATGGTGCGTATCACAGGCTCTGCAAAGTCGCAGCTCCCTTCTTTATGTTACCCCAGTGACCTGACTTATTGTGCTTTCCCAGTTTATTTTTAAAATACAATGCTATTTACGAAGGTTTAGACTTTCCCTTATGTAAGCAAGGAGACTTGAAGGAAGAAAGCAAGAGAAGGTTGCTGGCTCTAAATTTTATGGTGTTTCTAAATTTGCAGAATGGTAGGAGTGCTTCCAGGAACTGCACACTCTCCAAAAGCTCCAAAATAGAGAAGCAAAGTTTCAACATAGCTCCTCAAGCACAGAAACCTCCTTCCAAGAATTTCACTAACATGCTCTTTACAGAACTGTACAGTGGGTACTACTCATCTTCTCAGATTGTGCATAGTAGTTGGGGAATAGATGCCATCATTTGTATTATGTATGGACGAGTGATAGGCTAATGCACTCTTTAATAGACTTCTGGTACAGCTATAGAGAGCTTCAGACATTCCCAATGCTTTCGACTTATTACAGCAGATACAATGTACTTGAGGGTTCTGGTTGATGTGTGTATTGAAGGTGGGCAATTTTCAAATTTAGCTGGAGCTGCATAAAGGTTCTACAAATGTTTTACGTTAACCACTAAAGTTTGGGATTTTTAAAGTCTCTACCTGTGCATTCTTCGTTTCCAATGCAGAGAGAAAAAATAACATCCCATCCACCCTTGAAGAAATTAAAATCTCTGAATGACCTCGATCAAGCTAATGAAGAACAAGAGACAGAGTTTCTAAAACTTCAGGTCATTGAGCAACAGAACATAATCGATGAGCTCACAAGGGTAGGTCTTGATCAATCTATAAACTCTAAGCTGTTCCCCAAAACAAGTAGCCAAGAAATCAAAATACCCTGGAAGCACTTAATAATTTTGGATTAGCCCCAAAGATCCAAGTTCGTATGTTCAGTATGTAAATTGGTTCAAGAGACTCTATTCCAAAAATACTTTATATTATTAAACTATTTTATACCTTGTCAATTATAATCCTTTGTTAACTAATTTGGTAACACAAATAATAGCTGCAAAGCACATTAAAAGAACTTTCAAGGGGCCAGCCCGGTGGCACAAGTGGTTAAGTGGGCACACTCTGCTTTGGCAGGCCAGGGTTCTCAGGTTCGGATTCCGGGCGCGCACCAATGCACTGCTTGTCAAGCCATGCTGTGGCGGCGTCCCATATAAGGTGGAGGAAGATGGGCATGGATGTTAGCTCAGGGCGAGTCTTCCTCATCAAAAAAAAGAGAAGGATTGGGATCAGATGTTAGCTCAGGGCTGATCTTCCTTACAAAAAACAGAAGAACTTTCCAATGCATTATGTGAGTAGGTACGTAGTATGGGTATATCTTATAATTGCCTTCCAGTATCAAAATTCGGAGGTTCAGAGATTAAATATTTTGCCTACAGTAACAAAACCATATGCCTTTTATTTCCCAACACCTAATTCAGTGTCTAGCATATAGTTTAACAAATATTTGTTGAGTGAACAGCGACATCATAATTACATGACAGAGCTGAAATTCCAGTCCAGATCTTCTGACCATGACTTCAGTACCTGCTGAAGTAGGTCGAGCAGTTATTACTCCCATTTGCATTTGGCCGAGGTCTGTGTTACCAACAAGGGTGGCCTAAGACCTTTAGATGCCTTTGGGTTTCCTCTTTTCCTTTCTGTCTTTATTCTGTGAATGACATCTCTGGTCGCTCTCACTTCAGGACCAAGACAGGGCCTAGAGAGTTGAAGAACTAGTGATGGGGAGTTTTAGGCAATAGTCTCCAGAGTAGGGTGAGCAAGATGATTTACTGCCATTGAGGGAAGAAAAGATTATAACTTCTGTTCATAATTGTTTATGGTTCATCTTTTTAAATTTTCTATGTTGAGTATATGTTATAATGCATATACTATATTAGGAGGGTAATCTAAGTATAAATTTTTAAAGTTTTAGATAGATTAAGGTCGCATGATCAAAATATTTTTACTTATAAAAAAATGAGAAATCAAAAAGGTTAACACCACTGGCTTAAACCAGATTCTTTCTTAAACATGGCCTTCTGAAGCGCAGTGCACCTTATTTCACTTCCGTATCCTTAATAACTCATAAATCTCACAGATTCAGTAGTCCAGGAATTTGCTTGGCTTTGATTACCCTGAGTTTAAGATGAAAGTTTCTTATAGAATTTTGACATGTTTAGGCATGTCAGCCAGACTCGCAGAGACGTAAGTGTCACTTATTCCATCTACCTTTGAATTTGTACAGTAAATACATGGAGTACTTAGCAGATGAACATGAAATTCCCAGGATATCTCCATTCACAACAAAAATAAATAAAAAATTGGATCATTATTTCTAGAAATTCTTTGAGTTTCCCAGAAAATTCCATTGGGAACCCCCCACACACACACAAAAAAACCACTAGATGATTCCAACCAAGTAGATACTCTGTTCCCATCTTCAGAGACTGCTGGTGAGAACAAGGATCTAAGAATAGTCAAAAGATAACTTTCTATGCCTTTCAAGTGATTAAATGAAAAGAATAAGGTTTTACTTTATTTTAAAGTGATATTTTTTCAACACTTAAATTTAAAGTAATTAAGCGTCTGAGGAAACCGAAGACTTGTGCTTTGAGAGAATCTGAGTAACTATTTTCAGAGCTCCTTGATCTTCAAGTGTAAAACAAAGGATTCTGATTAGGAACACAGTGTACTTGATTGTGAGGCTCTCAGATCCATGTAGATTATCAGGAAAATTATAGGATATTCTTACTTTGAAAAGATTTAATTATGAAACCCAAAAGTTGCCAAAATTTACAAAACATAATCTTATTTGAAATAGAAATTGTAATGCCTCAGGGGAAAAACAACTTTGTCTTTGCAAAAATAATAATAATAATAATAACCTATAGGGAAATACGTACCAACTCAAGATCTGAAAAGTCCTTCATCTGTTTTCCAGGACCGAGAAAAGCTCATCCGTAGGAGAAAGCATAGAAGAAGTTCCAAGCCAATTAAGGTAATGAGAAAACTAGGTTATCAGGCTTTTGCCACAAACAGAGAAGTGAGGCTTGCCAAGAAATCTTCCTGCAAAAATCTGATAAATTAGATGTTCCTGAACTGCAGCAAACCATAGACTTTATTTGCTAGAAGAAAATCTCTTCTCTTGACAGTTCTCAGAAGCCCAAAAAGGATTGTGTTGTGGATTTTAACCTAAAAGGGTTTGCTTTAATATGACTTTCTCTGAATGAGGAAGCCACTAGGTTTGACGTAGAAAGGGTTTTCTGACAAATTGGAGAGTCACATTCCAAGAATGTGCAAGAGATACATATAATTTGATGTCTCCCATTGAATAACATTAGCATCTCATATCCACCCTATAATTAATTAATATATTTTCATTATTCACTTGGACAATATTATTGATAATGATACTCCCAATCTACCAATATCTGCATGGTCTCTTATAGTCTACAAAGTTTTGTTATTTAATTTGTCTGTTTGTTTGATTTTTGTCTTTAGCAAGCACATCATTTGATTTGAATATGGAATTAGATGTGATAAGACAATATTTGATAATCTCCTTCACATAGATGCCTAGACTTTCAGAGTCTCTTGATTATATTTTAAATACTGGAAAGAGTATATCACATGAACTGATCATGGTATAAAATGTAATATAAAAGAGGCTCCAATGTTTCTATGAACAGAGCCAAATATTAATGAATCTTCTGCAAAAACATCAGAAGTGTAATAATATGGGACAAATATTTACTGGAATTATTGTGTTCGTGCTCAATATTTTTATTTCGTCAAAGAAGCATTAAAGGATCCATGTCTTCTATATTCATTTGCATGTCTGCCAGTTGACAGTGCTTTACTAGTATGTCAACTTCCCCCACTTTTAGTTGTTATCAGTAAATATGTACTTTCCCTCCATTAGAGGCCTGTTTTGGACCCATTTATTGGCTATGATGAGGACTCCATGGATTCAGAGACATCATCCATGGCCTCATTTAGAACAGACCGAACACCAGCTACTCCTGACGATGACTTGGATGAAGTAAGCTTGCCCACTTCTCTAGTCTTTTGTGATATTGTCACCAAATCTTTCCTTTAAGGGGGAGGAAAAGTATTGCACTTTTTGTCTCCTTTATGAACAGCACAAAATGATTTCACAATTTTGAGACCATGCTTGACTTTGTTGCCTCTTAGAAAATAGCTTCCCCTATGTCATGTAGCCTTAGAAACTTCTCTAAAGTTCAGCTCTGTAACTTGAAGACTTCTTTCAAAATAGAAGTTACTCTCCCACATTCTTTATCTGGGAAAGATGTGAACTAAGGAACAAGCTTAGAAGAAAAAGCTTTTAGATGCAGTCTAAGACAGCAAAGTGTGCTCTGTAGACCACCTTCATCAGAATCATCTAGGGGGTTCAGTAACAATGAAAATTCTTGGACTCTACCACACAACTCCTGACTCAGGATCTTGGGTGTGGAACCCCCAAATCTACATTTTTTCACAAAACTCTCTGGTGGTGGTATTATGCTCTGAAGTTTGAGACCTGAAGCTATAAAACTATGTTTTTATCATTTATCTGGGGAAGAAGTTGTTGGATATGAATGTATTGAAAAGATGTGAGACTAAAACTGTGAATATCATTTCCTTAAATTTGGATCCAAATCTGGGTATAAGTTCTTCTCATTTGGATCCAAAATTGACTGTTATCCAAGCCCAAATAGGTAATAATCGGAAATGTATAAATAAACAAATGCTTCTTTTATTAAAATACTTAAGTATTTCTACAGTGTCCATCTTGAAAATATTACAGTATTTGTGTCCATACACATACTTTAGAATTAAGAATAAAATCACATAGAATCCAAAATCAAACAAACCTTTAACTTCTCTTTAAAAAGTGGACAAATGTTAATATTTCGCATTGAATACAGGACCTGAACATAACATGATTATTTTTTGGCTTTTTTTTTTTAACCTCAAGAGTTTAGCAGCTGAAGAATCTGAGCTACGATTTCGACAATTAACAAAAGAATACCAGGCCCTCCAGAGAGCATATGCCCTCCTGCAGGAGCAGGCTGGAGGCATCATTGATGCTGAAAGAGAAGCCAAGGTTAGTGTGTACCTGGGAAGGATGCTCTGAATTGGCTTACAGCAGTCGTGGCATAAAAGTATCATGAACATAAAAATATCAATAGGATAACTTTCCCTGTACCCTTCTCTCCACTACAGCTTCTGAGCTGTTTTATCTTTTATGTCAGCAAACCTTGGATTTGAAGACATTAGAACTAGCTTAGATCGATGCTTTTTTCTTTTAAAGATAGTTGAGTATATAGTTCTCATTCTTGCTGTTTGAAAACTTAACATTTTCAAAGCTAGACAATATTGAATTTTGATAATCCATTTTTAATGAATTCTTGCTTGGAAAAAAACACTTTTATCTGTCACAAGCGATAGTTGGCCAGTTTCTTTTCTTAGTTAATAAGTACATGGCATTACATTGGGAGCTTACCAAGAATTTTCACTGACAATATCTCATTTAATCTTTATGACGGCTCCTTAAGGTAGGTGTTTTATAAAAGAGGAATTTGAGGCTCAGAGAGGTTGATTGAATTGCCCAAGATCACATAGCTAATAAATAGAAAACTGGAATTCCAACTCAAATCTTACTGGTCAAATGTTCTTTCCATTATGTCACAACTGCCTCTCATAAGCCTATTTTATTTCAAAAAAAGAAAGAAACACACACACTATTAATACTTAACAGTTATTGAGTGCTTGCTGTATTCCAGGCATTGTGCCAAGCACTTTACATACATTATCTCATGTAATCCTAAAACAACCCTATGAGTTAGGCACTATTATTATCTCCTTTTTACAGGAGAGAAAATAATAGCTTAGTAGGAGTTAAATGTAGCTTAGTTACGTGAAAACCTGAATATGTAGCTTAGGTAGCTTAAAGCCAGGATGTGAACCTAGTCCTTCTGAGTTCAGAGTCATACCCACCAGGCCGTAGCTGCCTCACAGAGTAGTTTACATGGGGCAAGAAAGAGTGTGACCAGCCAGTGATTCTATCCTGCTTCTCATTTAAAGGCTCCACAGTCTGCTGAGGAGAGTTGTAGGAACTCCTGTTACTTGTTTAGTGGGAAAGGATAGATATTCTAGTTATATATTTTTAAATGGTAGCATACACACATACATGCACATATACATAAGTGAGTAAACATATTTTTTTTAAAAACCATTGTTTTTTTTTTTTTTTTTTTAAAGATTTTATTTATTCATTTTTTCCCCCCAAAGCCCCAGTAGATAGCCGTATGTCGTAGGTTCACATCCTTCTAGTTGCTGTACGTGGGACTCAGCCTCGCGTTGGACGGACAAGTGGTGCCTTGGGGCGTGCCCGGGATCCGAACCCCGGGCCGCCAGCATCAGAGCGCACGCACTTAACCGCCAAGCCACGGAGCCGGCCCTAAAAACCATTGTTTTTGATTTGAAATAGACTAGAAAGCAGTCACTAGAAAGGATATATGTGTGTGCCTTCATGTTTATGCCTTAATACTGTAATAGTTGTGGTTTTCATTATCAGTATTTACTAAGCATTCTTACCAACATAAGATTGGTCAATTAAAATAATAGCATATGCCTTGTTTTTTGGAGAGGTGATGATGTAGAAACCAGTTCTCTTTCTCTCATCTCACTCTCCCATCTAAATAAAGGTGTAGCATTATCTCTGGCCATTAAAGTCAAAAACACTTACCATTCTGAGCAAAAGAGTCTAAAACAAACCTAACAAGATATTAGAAAAAGGGCTATAGAGTAAATTCAAACAAAGCAGAAATGCACAAATAGATAATATAGATGAAAGAGCATCAATGAAAACAAAAGATATAATCATTTCGATACAAGAAAAAATAGATTATACTCAACACCCATTCAAATTTAAAATAATTCATAGCAAAATTAAGCTTGGAATTTTTTAACCTGATGAGGGCAAATATAATATTTAGTAGTCTAAAGAAATATTCTCCTCACAGTGAAGAATAAGAAAAGGATACCTACTATTGCCTATTTAATTCAACTTTGTACCAAAGAACCTATCCAGATCATAAGACAAGAAAAAAATATGTGTATTGGCAGAAAACAAAAGAAACTAATTTTTTACAAAAAATGGGATCGTGTATAGAGAGAATACAAGAGAATCTAAAAACAAATTGCTAAACTAAGTGAAGCAAGGTTGCTCCATACAAGATCAGTGTTCAAAACTGCTGATACACACACACACACACACGCAAAACACACAATAGATCATACATACATACATACATACATACATACATACATACATACATAGGTTTGGACTTAGATTTAGATATATGGCACAAAGTTGCCTCAAAAGAATGGAAAGATTTTGGAGAGGCAAAATGGGAGAAGGCTTTCCAGAAGGGGAACTTGTTCAAATAAAGAGAGAAGTGGAGAGGTACAAGACATATTTAGGAAACAAGGAGATCACTAGCAGGTTAGGGATGGATTCTGTGTTGATGAGTAGTGGGAAAAGATTGGAAATATGGTGGGAGTTCTCAAATCCCAAGCTAAAGAGTTTGGATTTTAACCTGATAGGAGCCACTAAAAGTCTTAAGCAAGAATTTAGATCATAAAAATAGTTTTTAAAGATTCTTTGATCATAGAAAATTTTTCTTTTGTTTTTCTTATTTGTTGAGTTCTAATCAAGGATTATGGGGGGAAGAAAAACATTGAATTATCATTTTGCTTATTGAGTTCTGGATTTTGATTTCACTAGGCTCAAGAACAGCTCCAAGCAGAGGTGCTAAGGTATAAAGCCAAGATTGAAGATCTGGAAGCGACTCTGGCTCAGAAAGGGCAGGTAGGCATTTGGTTACTATCACTTCTGCAGATGCAGACAATTCAATCTGACCTTCCTCTAGATCACCCTGTGCATGGGCCGCATCCAGGACATGGCTTGGCTCTCCACAGTGACCTTTCTCAAACTGTGTCAGAATGTTCAACTCTGTGTTTCTGTCCCTGGTGTTTTTCTGGCCAGAGTGTGAACCCAGCGAATGAGGTTGGGCAAGAGAGAGAATGCCAGAGGAAGAGGAGGCCTTACAAACAGCCTAGAGTGGTCATAAACTGCTAAGACAAAGACCCCCCCCCCCCAAGCTGCATTCTTTGCCTCTGTGCTACATTTATGGTTCTGCATTTTAATGTTTTCCATCCATATGTATCTAGCCTGTGTGCATTCTGACCCTTTTCACTTTTTGCCTGTGTGGTCACTTCTGAGTCCCCAGAAGGCTGGTCCTGGATTATTCAGACTGAAAAAGGTAGAGCTAGTGAGTGACAATGAAAAAGGGGTTAAATTTTCCTGGCAACTTTGGCCCCCATGTCTTTGAATAAGGAGATGGCAGGGGTGGGTGTCATTTACCAGTCATTGGCAGGCAAACAAACTGGGTGAAAAGAAGACAGCTCTGGCAAAGTGGTTTGACGACACATGCTCTTTCGTGCCACTCTGAAATGCTGACTGCGCGATATTCTTTGTCAAACAGGATTCACACTGGGTAGAAGATAAACAACTTTTCATTAAGAGAAACCAGGAGCTTTTAGAAAAGGTATGTGGGGCGCAACACTCTAGTGGGGCAGAGGAGAAAATGATGAGAGATCCAGGAGCAGCAGGGGGTCCTCTCAGGAGTGGCACAGGGGCTAGGGGAAGGGGAGGCTTTTCCGGCCCTGCACTCTCCTCTGCTGCGTGCTCAACTGCATCCCTGTCACCGCCATCACCATCAGTTAAGTGGCACGTGTGCATGGCTCTGCGCTGGGCATTGTGCCGACTTGAAAGGATGTGATCCCTGAAACCTATCAATTTGTTAACCATATATATATACTGTATATGTACTGTACATATATATATATATACACACCCACACGTGCACACATCCTATGTGGTTGTCCATCTACAAGAAACACGTTATGAATAGGACTTGTTATTTTGTGCAAAGAAGTTATAGAGTATGACTCCAAGACCATGCTGCCACCTAGCATAGACTGTGTTCTCACTCTTAATCTTTTTGCTAATCTTGGCTGTTTATATATTTCTTTAATGAAAGAAATTTTTAAAAGATGCATCCAAAGCACAAAACAGCATGTCCAGGAGGTTGATCAACAAATCAAGATGCAAAAGCGTGGTTTAGGCCCAATACAGTCATGTGTCGCTTAACGGCAGGGATACCTTCTGAGAAATGCATCGTTAGACGATTTCATAGTTGTGCGAACATCCTCGAGTGTACTTACACAAACCTAGGTGGTATAGCCTACTACAAACCTAGGCAATATGATACTAATCTTTTTTGTGTGTGTGTGAGGAAGATCAGGCCTGAGCTAACATCTGATGCCAATCCTCCTCTGTTTTCTGAGGAAGACTGGCCCTGAGCTAACACTCATGCCCATCTTCCTCTACTTTATATGGGACACCGCCACAGCATGGCTCGACAAGCAGTGTGTCGGTGCACGCCCAGGATCCGAACCGGCGAACCCCAGGCCGCCGCATCAGAGCATGCTCACTTAACCACTTGCGCCACCAGGCCGGCCCCCTATGATACTAATCTTATAGGACCACCATCATATATGCAGTCCGTCATTGACCGAAATGTCATTATGCAGTGCATTACTGCAGATATAATTAATTTTGCTTACCTAAATGTAGACTTTTGAACTGGGGCGATGAAATACAACAGAGATCATTTTAAGTTCAAAGGTGGCTTTTCCTTTGGTATTTAGCTTCCACAAATCTAGTGAAAAGATTACAAAATAATCTTGTATTGTTTTTGACAAAAACAGAATTTGAAAGCCCGTTTGAATAAGGGAAATAATTCTGTAGGTTGACCCAAAGTTATGTAGAAATTATCTTAGAATTATTTCTACCAATAATCACTAGCCTTGACAAGCAATAAAAATTAACCACAACACCCTCGTAAGCATGAAAAGGGAAAGAAGATACTTGTCCTCCCACCCCTCTGGGCTGGCAAAGTTAGGGCATCCTATCTCACTTTCTGTATAATAGAGGTGATGTCTAGAAGGTGGGTGGGTATTCCAGGATTGAGAACAGATACTCTCAGAAAGGTTAAGGGTCCCTATACAGAAAATTATCAGACACTGGCCCTGGTCTATCTATGAATTGCAACCTGTGAACCACGGATCTGATTGCCAGTGCTACCCACCAGAACCAGGGATCTCCCCAAATATCCCATCTCTGATCCCAATCCAAGATTCTAGGAAGTAGAATCTCTTTTGTGATCTAAGTCAACTTCTAAAAACTTTCATAAGTTCACTAGATAACAAAAATGTAGTGTAAAAAACTTGAGTTGACTACATTAAATAATGTCACATATCTCCCCATCTTTATTTTTCTGTAGTTTTTCTACACCATGAGGCTTTGAGAAAAAGAGTATTTTAGTAGTCTCAGAGATGCCCAGTAATGTATTATTAAATTTCTTTATCATCTAAAAATAATTCCCATTATGTCTTCTGTCTGATTTCCTTTGGTCTTGATTTCTTTGGGCTAAAAGGGAAATTTTTGAGCTCAGCCTTCTAGAGTAAGTATACAAAACCACAGTGACAATAAAGCTAAACATCCTACTCCAAGTGTGTATACTTGGGAAAGTAAAATTTATCCTGTGATAAAAAGCCCCTGGTATTTTATTTCTAACTTTAAGATTTTAAATAATCTCTGTGCATAAGGCCCACCCATACAGCTAACATCAAAGGCAGTCCAAAACCTATTGCAAGTCATGAAAATGTTCTCATCCCTTGTAGACATGGACCTGTCTATAGGGCAAGGCATGTTTGTACACAACTAACTTAATTCCATGTTCCATCAGGTTATACTAGAGGTCCTGTAGGAAAACAGAAGGGGTGTCACTTCTAAATGGGTAGCCAGGGGAAGCCTCTTATGGTAGGAGATGTTAGAGCTTGGTGTTCAAGGAAGTGGAATATTTTCTCCTGTAGAAAAGGAAATGGGGGAGCCCTTTTCAGGCAGAGATGAGCACAGACAGAGCTCCTGGAGTAGTCAGTCTGTAGGGTAAATCTGGGTTTCTAGATTCTGGTGTTTGTGTGATCACATGTGCATGTGTGAGTGTGTAGAGATGACAGTGATAACATTCAAAACTGGAAAGCTAGCTGATGACCGGATTATTAAGGTTTTTGAATTCCATATGGAGAAGTTTGGCTTTATTCTGTAGGTAACTAGAATTCAGCAAAGTTCTGTATGTGATCAGAGCTGTGTTTAAAACATTATTTCTCCAATTTGTAACTTCAGAAATAAGGGGTGTCAGCCTCCATTATTTATGCCATCAAATCTAGTTCTAGGACACTGTCTTTGCCCCACAGCAAGAGCATAGTGAGTACTCTCAGATTCACTAATCACAGCGTCGCTAGACTTGATCTCAATGAATGGAGGTGTCCCCCAGCATTTTCCTCTATGAGCCAAAAAACTCAACCAAAGGGGTAACTAGAAGGAAAGCCAAAGACTTATTTTATTCACATCTACTTGGGATTTATTTTCATGGTCTAGATGAATTTATTCACATGCTTGCTTTGCAAAGTTGTAGATGCTTTTTGCAATGTTCACCTAACTTGAGGATTTACTTTATTAGATAGAAAAACAGGAGGCAGAAAATCACCGGTTACAACAGGAACTGCAGGATGCCAGAGACCAGAATGAGCTGCTGGAGTTTCGAAACCTAGAGCTAGAAGTAAGGAAATGATGATAATGATAATAAAAATAATCATATCAATTAACATGCAGTGAGCGTGTCCTCTGTGGGAGGTGCTGAATTAAGCATTTCAGATGTATGCCCTTTTTGGACCTCACAACCACAAGCAGGATTTTATAGATGAGGCAACTGAGGTTAAATAATTTGCCGAAGTCCTGTGACTAATAAGTGGTAAAGCATTGATGCAACTCAGAATTGTCTGCTCAGATACTGTACTTTTCAACACCATTGCCTTTATGAACAAGACTAATGAATAATTTTAAAATAATTTAAATAATAGACTTCAAACTCCATCAATATTTTATTGCTTTTAAATAATCATTTCCACACTTCATTGAATTCTGACTCATAAAATCTTACTTCAAGAATTATATTTCAAAATGAGCAGTATACAAAAATATTTTATCATTAGACACTTGAATTTGTAAGTAAACATTTTAGTCTATAATGCATTTATGCAAAAGGATAAGAAGCAAGGTAACTTGTTCTAGGAAATACTTTGGTTAATCAGACCAAATTTCAGTCTTCTTTTTTTTTGTAAGGAAGATCGGCCCTGAGCTAACATCTGCCAATCCTCCTCTTTTTGCTGAGGAAGACTGGTCCTGGGCTAACATTCATGCCCATCTTCCTCCACTTTATATGGGATGCCACCACAGCATGGCTTGACAAGCGGTACATCGGTGCGCGCCCAGGATCCGAACCGGCAAACCCCGGGGCTGCCGCAGCAGAGGGCGCGCACTTAACCGCTTGCACCACCGGGCCGGCCCCCAGAGTCTTCTTTTTTTAAGTCAAGCATATCAATCAAAACAGATCTTGATTGCATCATGCAGAATCTAGCTTAGAGTCTGGTTGAATGTACATTGATGTGTAAAAAATAAGAAAAATTCCCATTTTATTTCTTTGTTATTTTGCCAGCAATTTCTTCTTGATCTTACTTCAAATTAGGTTTGGATAGAGTTAGCGGTTGGTATTCCTCAGTGAAGAAGAGTTAAGTCGTCTTTGGTAGCCCATATATCTTACTTACAAAGCTTGAGTGGATTGAATGCACAAAAGGCTGTTAGCTGCCATAAAACTTCATGGTTGAAAGACCACTCTTTGTGACACCTGAAAGCTCTAAATACTTGTATAATTTAAATTGTTACTCCACTTCCCACATTTCCCCCAATCAAAAAATTTGCAAGACTGGATCACACCATTTATAAATCCTTCTCCCATACATCTCAGTTGACTAATCATTTCCTTTCCATTTAAATTTAAGTATGAACACCTTAGTTTGATATTTTTTTTTTTGGCCAAATGACATATTTGATAAATTGCTGAAATAGCATAAAGAGAGAACACAGACAACTGGTTTAGTGTTTAATCAGTTGTTGCTTTTTTTTTTCTTAATTACCGTAATTCTTCATTGTATTTCAAGGAAAGAGAGAGACGATCCCCTCCATTTAATCTACAAATTCACCCATTCTCAGATGGCGTGAGTGCTCTACAGATCTACTGTATGAAAGAAGGTGTGAAGGTAGGCAGATATTTAATTTTTTGTTTGTAGAAAGTAGAAAAACTGGGAATTGGAAAAGGGGAGGTTGTTCATGACTGTTTTGTCTTTCAGTCACTGAATGTCATTTTGATACAAACTATGTAGGAATTGAAAATAGTCACATTTATTGGAAAATCAGTAGAACATAAAGTAAATATGTGACAGATGTACGAATAGTAACAGCAAAAAACACAGGAAGCCATGATTATTTAGAAAAGAGTAACATAAAGAATGATACAGAATCAAAATATTTATTAATAATTACCCTTAATTGTCTAGAGGAAATATTAAACTCAGTACTTCAAGAAACATATTTCAAGTATGCCAGATAAAAAAGTATTTGTTGAGTCCCTTTGTTGTGCTGTTCTAGGTGCTGTGGAATTCATAATCTTGAAATTTCAGAATTAGAAGAGACCTTGAAATCATCTAGTCCACCATCTCTTTTGATATGCTTAATTTAGGGAGGATTTCTCTTTTGGAAGGACTTAAGTTGATAACATGTTGCTCACTTAGACAAAATATAACTCTATCTTTAGTGATATTGGAAAACATTTTAAATATTAAGGTTGAATGGAGGTGGCTCCATTTCCTGGAAAATATATTATCCTTCACTATAAGGAAATTATATGGTGAATATCTATTCCAGAGGTAAAGCTAGGAAGCCTCCCACTATTCCTGGTCTCTCCTTTACCTTCTGCATGGCCCTTCTGCTCCTACTCTGAGCTGCGTATATACCTGCTTTAGTTGCCTTCTCTCTACCTATGAGGTTGAGCTAGACTTCCCCCTTCCTGGCGGTAGGGATCTTCTGTACTGCGATCTGAACATAAGTGAGAGGAGAAGGTGGTACTAATGAGGTGAAAAGTGGGGGGACGATTAGGTAGTAAAATTGTGCTTCCTTGTCTTCCATCTTACATCACTCTCATGGTGTTTAAATCTCTGGCCTTCCTGGGTTGCAGGAAAATTTGTAAACCAAAGCAATTTTTTGATTCAACTCTAATTAAATGAAAAGCACTTTACTTTAGATGCTTTTTCCTAGATAAATCACAAACAACCTAATCCAATGGATGTAATTTATATCCAAGGGAACTCTTTCAAATGGAGTTCAGCTGCTTCAAACTGACTCAAGGAATATAATGAAAATCAGCTGTTTTCCATAGGATGAAATTAATGCTAGACACAAAAAATGAAACTGCACTATCATTTCTATGTGGCAGTCAAAATCTCACCAGGTCAAAATTCTATTAATTAGAATGAAATTGGTTGATTATTTATATTAATTACCTGTTACTTTTCTTCATACCTGAAATCTATCATCATTGAAAAAATTTTTGAAAATTGTAAGAAAAAAAGTTAAGGAGAAAATTCCAAGTCCTTAGTACATCCTAGACTCTTTCATATACAGTCTCTTTATTCTCAACATTCACCTGTGAAGGAGGTATATCTTATCTTCATTTGGCAATTGGCAAAATGGAGAATGAACTGTTAAGTAGTTTTCCTAGGTTCACACAGCTTATAAGAGCAGGGTGGAAATGTAAAATCAGGTGTTGCCTGACTGAAAACAACCCAAGGAAGTACAAGCCTTAAAATGTCTTCTCTAACTTAAGGGTCAGGCACTGATAGAATGGTAAGCCACGTTTGTGTCTTTGACTTGAATGTATTTCCTTGATTTTGCAGGATGTGAACATCCCTGATCTCATAAAACAGCTTGACATCTTAGGTGATAATGGGGTAAGTAATGAATCCATTAAGTACAGTAGAGATATGAATTTGCCTAAAGAGAAGCAAGAAATACTTGCCAGTGCATCATGTATAAAAAAATATCAAGTGAGACTCCATGTTCACTTAAGGATGTAGCTCCCAGAGAATCACCAGTTTATCAAACAACCTCGCTCAGTGGTTGTAAGGATCTCTGGAAGGTAGTGGCAGAAATGGAAAGTGGTCAAGTGCTATTCATGGGCAGGTTTCAGGTTTGAATGCCAACCACATCTGCTGTGATTAAAGCTAATTACCTTCTGACTGTTGCTTGGAGGCATCTAGCGTGAAATTAATCAGTCATGCAGTTGCAAATGCTGCTAAATAGTAGGGTTGGTGGCAGCCCCATAAAAATGGACCAGGAAACTATAATCCCTTTTCTTTCTAAAAACATCTTCCAGGCAGGGTCAAGGCATATTAATTCAGTGGGAGGAACATTCATTGAGATACTAGATGAATGATGCATGTAGGTTGAACGGGTCACACCATTTTTTCCCTTGGAAAATGATCCAAAGAGAGAACACAATCAATTAAATCATATCAAACTGCTATGAAGAGATTACTCCTTATTTCATTTTGTTTCTGCTTTTCTCATAACATGACTGTTAATGAAGTATGCTTACAGCAAAACATAAAATCAAGTTAGTATTAGAGAGAGATTTAAAAAAATCACAATGTACTTTTTACTGGTTTTGAATATTTTGAAGAATAATTTTGAAGAATTATTACTAAATAGAATTGAACATTTGCTAAGGTTACATGCATGCGTATGCAGTAGTGTCTATGGCAGAAATTTAGGCAGTATTTTCTGATAGTGTAAGTATCATGAATGTCCTTAGCTTATTTTCTTTCTTTCTTTCTTCACAGAATTTGAGAAATGAAGAACAAGTGGCCATAATTCAGGCCAGCACTGTGCTGTCCCTGGCAGAGAAGGTAATAAGTTGTACTAACATTCAAATCATCTGTGTCTGGCTTAACATCTGAAGGGCAGGGTAGCGTTGAAGGACATTCTCTTTGCACATGACTGCGTTCTTGAATACCTAATAAATATTTTATTTTTCAGTGTGATACAACCCAGATAGAATGAGAACACACAAAAGAAAAATCTACACACTGATTTGGGGTGGGTGGATAGTTCTTGCTTTGAAGTCTCTTTTTTTATTTTATTTTTTTTTGTGAGGAAGATCTGCCCTGAGCTAACATCTGCCAATCCTCCTCTTTTTTTGCTGAGGAAGACTGGCCCTGGGCTACATCCATGCCCCTCTTCCTCTACTTTATATGGGACGCTGCCACAGCATGGCTGGACAAGCGGTGCAGCGGTGTGTGCCCAGGATCCGAACCGGCGAACCCCGGGCCGCCGCAGCGGAGCGCGCGCACTTAACCGTTTGCACCACCGGGCCAGCCCCTGAAGTCTCTTAAAAATATAATTCTTAAAAAATGAAAAACCTTCTGAATTACATTATTTAGGCAATCCCTACCAAGCTGGGAGGCCAATAAAGAAGGATTTTGTTAAGAGGTGGTAAACCGGAACGTGACTCTTTTATAGGCTTTCCTTGGGTGTGTACATACCATTGTTCCATCTGTTTCTGTAACATCGGTGTGGCTCACTGCAGTCTCATTCAGAAAGCCCAACCTAGACTGTCAGAAGGGCAGCACTGAGTGTGCTCTGGCCCCCTTGCGTCTAAACCTGGTAAATGGCAGGAAGAGAGAGAGGAGAGGAAAGAGCCGAGGGGAGGAGCCAGCTAACTGGCGGTATTCATGGTGCCTTGAAGAGCGGTGCATAGTTGAGAGTCATGTTTACGTGGCTGGATAAAATGAGAACTGTATAGGTTCCTTGAGATGCTGTCTTAATTCCTAAATGTGTAAAAAGATTGTTATAAAGTAAATGAAACCATGAGCAAGCAGTCAGCTTACTCCAATCTGAAATGAGGGAATTCTGTAGGTCAAATGACCCAGTTAAGTTACTCAAACAAAGCAATGACATAAAAAAAAAAAAAAAAAAGGCAGAGGGAAAGGGAAGGACTGCTATAAAATAAAAAGGTTTAAGAAATATTGAAATGATCCTGGGGGCCGGCCCGGTGGCGCAAGCAGTTAAGTCCACGTGCTCCACTGCAGTGGCCCAGGGTTCACCAGTTCAGATCCCAGGCGTGCACCAATGCACAGCTTGTCGAGCCATGCTGTGGTGGCGTCCCATATAAAGTAGAGGAAGATGGGCACGATGTTAGCTCAGGGCCAGTCTTCCTCAGAAAAAAGAGGAGAATTGGCATCAGATGTTAGCTCAGGGCTGATCTTCCTCACACACACACAAAAAGAAATGATCCTGTTTTGCATCCTGATTCAAGCAAACCAAGTGTGAAAAAAAAAAAGGACATTTTGCTGACAATTGGGGAAATTTTAATATGGACCAGGTATCAGATGACAAAAGGAATTAATGTTAATTTTGCAAGGTGTGGAAATGGTCTTGTGGTTATGTTTTTTTAAAAAAGGTCTTATCTGTTAGGGATGCATATTGAAGTATTTACCTGTGAAATGATATCTAGGATTTGCTCTTATAAAAACTTACTTCGTTCACAATTTAATTACAGACCTTATTGCTTTCCCTCTCATCCTCCCAGCCAATTAACAGCACCACACTGTCCTCAACATAAGGTCCAGAATCCAGAACTTGGCAAGAGGCCCCCTGGGATCTGGCCCTTTCCTACTTCTCTAGTACCCCACTTCCTTCCTTGGTCACTAGCTCAGGTCCAACCATATACAAATCCTTTGGGGCCCCAATTGCCTCTCTCTCTCTCTACCTCTATTTGCATTCCTTGGTCCTTTACACTGTTCTCTTTGCCTAGAAGATATTATCTTCTTCCCTTTCTACTTTTGTCTGGCTAAATCTTAATCGTTGGACACCCCCATACACGGGGAAGCCTTAGTGTTCACCCAAGCCCAGGTGGGTGTTCTTTCTCTGTGTTCCCACTGACCTGTGCTTCTGCTATCATGGCTTTTAACAACTATAATGCAACTGCCTATTTTCTCTGGTCCACTAGACTCTAAGCTCCACGAGGGCGAATGTGGTATCTCTTTTCCCCCTTTGGTTTCCCCAGCTTTTCACACCAGTCCAGCACATCTAACAGGTGATCAATAAATGTTTACTGAAGGACTGAATGAATTTTTGAATGTCTACAAGACACTGTTCCCACGACACAAAGATGAAGGAAACACTGTCTGCACCACCGGTTCCACTATATTTATTCGGCAATGATAGCCAGAGTGTCTCATTTAGTTGGAGTCATGAGTCGTGATTCTTTATTGTAAGACAACTCACCTTAGTTTAGGGATATAAAGAAAACTTGGACCTATTCTATGAAAGGGAAGGAAAGGAAAAGGAAAAGGAAAAATAGGTCTTGTGTGCCTCACATTTACTTTGATGGAAGAAAAACTTCCATTTCCTGCCCTGTGTGGTGGTATGCAGCTTGAACTTGGTCGTAACTAACACTTGCATAGTGCTTCTTTTGAGCATGGCATTGTCCTAATTGCCCAAGTCCTGGTACTACTGTTATCCTCATTTCACACGTGAGGAATCAGAGGCACAGAGAAGGTAGGTAACTGCCCAAGTCACACAGCTGGAACACGATGAAGTCGGGATTCACACTCAAGCAGTCTGTTTCCAGAGGCCATGATCTTCCTAACCACTGCACCAAACTTCCCCTCAAGCATCCTATTAAAAGCAGGAAGTACCCGATGCAGAGCATGTAGGAGTTGGTTTTTTAGAGCTTTGGTGAATTAGCCCATGCTTCCACTTACCTCCTTTGCAAGACAGGTGTCGGAGGTTCAGTTGAACAATCACAGGGTGGTGACTATGTGTTTGGCACTGTGGTAGAAAGTGAGGAACCAGATAAATAAGACACGAGCCTGTCCTTGTGGTGCTCGTGATCTGTGCAGTTGCCTTTTGTGCAGATCTTTGCCATTCACAGGTTAAAGTCACCTGCTTCCTTTGGGATTCACAGATAAACATTTCTACCTCCTAGTAATTCTAAATGTCAACCTTGAATTTTCTGCAACTACAGATTTGAGTAGCACACTACTATATGGGAGTGTGATCCTTAGCCGGAGAATGAGCCTAGACAAATTTCCAACAAGCAAATCCCATTGTGACTTTGTATTAATAATAATAATAATAGCAGTGACCTTAACTGACAACATATTATGGGCCAGGTACTGCACTCAATACTGTATGTGTATTATCTCATTGTTCCTCACAACCATCCTATTTTCATCCACTGTTTTTATTTTACACAAGAGGAAACTGAGGCATGGACTATTCAGTGACTTGTCACATGTCACACAAGTAGTAAGGAGCAGGAGCCAACACGCAAATCTTTATCTAAAGCCCATGACTGAACTACTTCACAATTCACAGTACTCTTTAAAACATGATTTACGAAAGAATTTTTTTCTCACTGACAAACTGGCAGCGAACAAGAGGAAGAATTTTAATAAAGCTTGACAATATGCAATAGCAATATGAGGCTGTTTACAAGAAACCCATGACTTTTGACTGAAATTTGTTTTGGGGGAAGCCGTGTGTATGGACAAGAACTGAGAAATTAGATCCTTTTGAGTTTCTCCATGCCTTTTTTCTTTCCCCATGTTCCCTACAGCCGAGGGGTTGTTGGACATGAATGTGAAGGCTCCAGTATATAGAAAAATGCTCAGTGTACCACATAATTTATCACAGACAAACTAAAAAGAAATAGCTGTAATGGGGCACATTTCCAATCATACAGAAGTACAAGAATAAATGTTAACCAAAAACTAGAATTTATTGGGTACCTAGTACATGCAACATGCTGTGAATAGTGCCTTACATGAAATACATCCTGTACTCTTCACATTAATCTCATTTTACAGATAAGAAAGTTGAGTCTTAGAGAAATCAGGTAACCTTTCAAGGCCACACAGCCATGAGAAGCTAGATTGGAATTAAACCCAATGTAGTTTGCCTCTAGAACCCACACACTTAATTACTATGCCGCATTGCCTCCGTAAGGGATAAGCTGGTGTTTGACTTGGTAGAGACTCATTATAATAATTTGTTCTATTAACCCATACATCTGGTAGGCTCACACCATAATATTCAAAGTCTAAATTCATTCAGGGTGTTGATCAATGCCATATAGCAGAACGATGTATTCCAAGTGTTAGGAAAAGTAAGTTCTCATGTGATTTAAAATGTCTCCACTCAACAAAAATGATTCTTCAACACTGAGCTGTTATGAGTTTTATACTGAAAATTGCCATTTCTCCCGTCTCACCTGGGCTTCTTGTTTCACTATGCCCCTTACAACCATGGACAATTGGACATCCCTTCTGCTTGGAACTTGCCCCTCGCTTTTACCTAATCATCTGACTCATTCTTGAGACTCCAGTGCAATTGTCACTTCTAAGAAAGCCTCCCATGGTGTCCATCACTGAGGACAAAAAATTTTGTGTTGGTCGTATTCTAGCACATCGCCTGACACATGGTAGACATCATGAAGGCATTTGTTGAATAAATGAATGAATGATTAGAAAACCATAGTCTTGTTTCTGAACTAAGAGATAAAAGGCACCGAGTTTTCATTTCAGTTCTCAGTCTGCTTCTTGAGCTATAAGGGGAAGAGACTGAGCACCTCAGGAGACAGCACATATGCACCATATCAAGCAATCATATCAGACATTTCTGTCTTGTTTACCCCTTAGTGGATCCAGCAAATCGAAGGAGCAGAGGCTGCCCTGCATCAGAAAATGATGGAATTGGAAAGTGACATGGTGAGTACAAAGATGAGGTATCATAAAAATGAAGAAAAATTGACAAGGCAAATGGAAAACAACTGTTTTCTACCAGTTTTATCTGGCACTGATGAAAATTTGTAGCCTTCCCATTATTTTGAATACAGACTGTGGAACAAAATTCCCAGAAGTATTATTCAAAATTTCAAGTTGTAGTCTGCAAAAGTATCATGTTGTATTTTTGTAGTATTTCCAAAACTCATGCTGTGGAAAATTCAGTTAGGTGTTTTCTTTCTTGGGCTAAATAATTTTTCTACCATATATAATTATAGTAAAAGTTACAGAAATGATGGGTGTAACACTGATTTTAAAAATTCCCAGGCTATCTCGTGCCTAGTAGGATGGCTACTATCAAAAAAAAAAAAAAAGAAAATAACAAGTGTTGGTGAGGGTATAGAGAAAGTGGAACCCTTGTGCACTATTGATGGGAAGGTAGAATGGTATGCAGCCACTATGGAGAACAGTATGACAGTTCTCAAAAAATTCCAAATAGAATGAACATATGATCCAGCAATACCACTTGTGTATATACCCCAAATCATTGAAAGCAGGGTCTCAAAGAGATGTTTGTACACCCATGTTCAAAGCAGCATTATTCACAATAGTTTAAATGTGGAAGCAACCCAAGTGTCTATCAATGGATGAATGGATAAGCAAGCAAAATGTGGTCTATACATACAATGCAATATTATTCAGCCTTGAAAAAGGAAGGAAATTCTTGACACATGCTACAACATTGATGGACCTTGGGGACATATTATGCTAAGTGAAATAAGCCAGTCACAAAAAGACAAATACTGTATGATTCCACTTATATAAGGTATCTCGAGTCTAGTAGTCAAGCTCATGAAAACAGAAAATAGAATGGTAGTCATCCGGGGCTCAGAGGAGGACAAAATGGGGAGTTGTTCTTTAATGGATATAGAGTTTCAGTTTTGCAAAATGAAAAGAGTTCTGGAGATTGGTTGCATAACAATGGGAATATACTTAAGACTACTGAACTGTACACTTAAAAATGGTTAAGATGGTAAATTTTATGTTGTATGTATTTTACCACAATTAAAAAAATTTTTTTTAAATCCCCAAGCCTAAGAATTAGTCATTATTAACTTATAGCAATACATAGAATTTTATAACTGCACTGTCATTAATGTTATTATTACTAATAAACAGGTAGTAATTCCTGTCAGGTTAGGAATCCTATAGAACTCCTTGCAGTCCTAAGAACAACAACTTGCATTTATATAGCATATGACAACTTATATACACATCATTTGCTTATATTTTACACAGGGTTGACATTTTACCAAGAGGTTAGGCTCTGAAGTCAAAGCGTGTAACAAGAACTGTTCATGTTCAAATACCCTTGAAAACTCTTTAAATGCACAAATATTAATTGTGCAATCAGCCTGTACCAGACTAGGTACATACCATTAGGAAAATCACAAGCAATTTTATTACTGATGTAGACATATAGTCTCTCAGAAGTCGATGCAATCAAGTTCTCCAGCTCTGGAAGATGTCCTTGTTCCTTCAGTTAAGCACACAAAGAAATAATTGGCTGTACTTGGGGCTATGTTGTACACACAGATATATTTTAAAATGCTAATGGCAAGATGCTCGCAATATGAGAGGCACACAGAAACTGAGGACAAGCAAGGGAACATCAGATTTAAGTCTCCCAGCTCACACTGGCTTTGTGGCACAAGCAGACACTCATTAAGTGGCACTGTGGGTGGAATCGCCCCCACTCTCTAAATTGTCATCTATTTTTGTGTTTGCTAATTGTACACAGATAACTTTGAGTAAGTTAAGTTTTTTATTATACAACTCTGCCATATCACGTTTCATAACATTCTTATAAAAATATATTGTCACAATATATTTGCACAGATACACTTACTAGTTAACACTTACCTTGGCAAAGCTATCTTAATCACATACTCATGGATTGGCATAAAAATCTTTTAAAGAATTCCATGTGGGGGCCAGCCCCGTGGTGTAGTGGTTAAGTGCATGCACTCCGCTGCTGGCGGCCCGGGTTTGGATCCCAGGTGCGCACTCATGTACCGCTTGTCAGGCCATGCTGTGGTGGCGTCCCATATAAAGTGGAGGAAGATGGGCACAGATGTTAGCCCAGGGCCAGTCTTCCTCAGCAAAAAGAGGAGGACTGGCATGGATGTTAGCTCAGGGCTGATCTTCCTCACACACACAAAAAAAGAATTCCATGTGGACTGTTCATTATATCTTTTATGCGTCTTCCCATTGATTTTCACATTCCCTATGTGAGACTATGAAAGGTGAACTATTTCCCTAACAGACAAAATCTATGATCCTACAAACAGTGATTTATCTCGTGGTAGAATTAGAGAAAACATTGATCAATGCAATTTATATATCACTTCCTTGTTAACCAAGCTGACTCTATTTATCAATATGGCCCTTTTTTGTAGGAACAATTCTGCAAAATAAAAGGCTATCTGGAGGAAGAACTAGACTACCGGAAACAAGCGCTCGACCAAGCATATATGGTAGGTACAACAAGCAGTCAGGACACTCAAGAGTGTTTACAATTTTATTCTATCGAGTAAAGCATCCTATTTAAGTTGTCAGGCCGTGTACTTGAATAGACCAAAACATGCAGCTCATTTATCCAGTGGTTTCCAGTTCTAATTTTAGAACAAATATATCCCTAGCTCTTTGCTGTTGCAATATTCCTATAATACTTAATATTTCATTATACTTCATTTTTAAGAAATTAAATGTATGTCGCTATATAATATTTTAATGAAAGATTGTATAGCAGTGTAGATTAAAGAGAAGTTTTCTTAAATCAAATCCAGTTGTTTGGGAGCCTAATCTAGTGATGGAATAATAAAGTATTTAACGTTTGCTGTGTATATTTTTAATTCATTTCTTTCTGACAACAACCGTCTGAGGTATAGGTAATATTATTATTCCTATATTACTTATGAGGAAATGAAAACTTAGAGAGTGAAAGAACTCTGCCCATATTGGTAAGCGGGTAGTGTATCGATCTGACTGTAGACATGGCAGCCTTAACTACTATAATCCAGCCACAGTAAGGAAGGCTGTATCGGTAAATGGGCCATGCCTTTTTCTCTTCCACAGAAGATTATGCTGATTGGGGAGCACATTTGATCCATTTCCCTGTACCAAATTCATAATGCATAATTCCTAATATTGGACTGAGCTTACATTTCTTCTTTTTGTACACAAACACCACCCCCTCATTAATTTACAGTAATGACTCAAGAGAAAAAGAGAAAATTTGAAAGAGGAACATTTCACGGAGTTGCTAGTAGAGGTTTTTATAATGCTTTCCTGGAAGCAGCCTGAGTCACTTTTGGGAAACGAGTGAAGCACTTAGCCCCTGCTTGTAACAAAGATGAAATAGTGTTCCCCCTCCAAAATGAGTAAGAGATTCTGAGCATCGCTTGATAGGGAAAGGAGAAAATGAGTTGGTCACTAATTAGAGAATAAAGAAGGAGATTTTCCCCTCCCCTCTTACCCTTTTATCCTTACCTCTCTCCCAATACATGATAAGATTAAGCTGTGTGCTTATGTGTGCCATGACTGAGTACTCATTCAGACAACTACATTTGACTTTAAAAAGATGAGATCTGCTTAGTCCAGAACAAGAGCTAGGAAAGCATCCCTCACCGGGAAATGTCCATTCACCTCTGTCAAAGTCACAAGGGGGAAGATTATAGATTTTGGCAACTGTATCTGAAGCATGTTATACAAAAAAAAACCAACTGGGATATAAGCAGCAGTAGACGCTTCATCTAAAAAAGGGCAAGATTCAAGAAAGCATTTTATAGCCAGAGCAACTGTAAAACTCAAAAAACAGACCAATTCCAAAGACTGTATGCTATTTTTAGATCATATTTCCAATTTTTATTTTAAGAAAAAATATAGAGACCATAAGGCCATCTTTAAGTACAGAGCTGTGTCGTGTGAAAGTGAGGTGACATTTTGTGCATGAGATATATCTCCAATTTCAAGTATTTTATTCCAGCTTAGAACACTTCACAATACTTATCTGTAAAAGTATGGCCACCATGATAGATCTCTTTAAATATTTGAAGGGCTGTCAAATGGAAGAGAGGACAAACATTCTCAGCTACATTTGAGAATAGAAGAATGTACAGTTATTATAACAAAGTAAGGACTTTCTAAAAATGAAAGGTATGTGAAATGGACAGGATCCCAAGAAAGAAAACAAATTCCCCATCATCAGAGAAGTTCACATATTGGCTGGATGACTCTTATGGAATCTTATAAAAGCGATTATCAAAAGGCTAGTTAGGTTAGATAAGCTTTGAAATTTATTTCATTGTTATGATCCTGTAAAAAATAAATACATCCGTCCCCACATACACGTGTGTATATGTTCACACACCGCACATAAATGCTAAGTTACAAGGTTAGACTTTTCCAATTCTATTTGCCAGAGGATCCAGGAACTAGAAGCTACTTTGTACAATGCTCTGCAGCAAGAAACTGTTATCAAGTTTGGTGAATTATTAAATGAAAAACAGCAAGAGGAGTTGAGGACGGCAGTAGAAAAGTTACGGCGGCAGATGCTGAGGAAGAGCAGAGAGTATGACTGTCAGATTCTTCAGGAGAGAATGGAGCTCCTACAGCAAGCCCATCAGGTGAGGACTGAGTCACTACATCTGTGTAGAGTTGGTACTAAGCAAATGGGACTTAGTACTAAGTACATAGTATTGAGTATGGGTATGGAGAAGCCCAGGAGATATTAGCTGTTTTCAGAGAGTAAAATAAATATCTGTTGTTTTCCATCTTCACTCAAATATAGCATGACAGTTTTGTAATGATCCAATCTTAAGAAAATTGGCGTTTCAGAAGCATCGCATATTGCTACATTTTTGCAACTACTTTTTCATGAAATACCCTTTGAATTTCTTGGAGCCTGATTATCTCCCTTATGCAGGGAATTAGGACTCTCTCCAGGGCAGAAATAATGCTTCCCCTCTGTTACTCATCCCAGTCCATAACCTAGCCTGATCAAATAATCTGAACAGGGGGAAAGAGAACAAGGGCCTTTCTCTTTATTCCCAGAACAAACAGCAACAACAATAAAGGCTGGAAGCTGCTGCTTACTTCCTGGCATTTGCTGTATGTCAGGAACTAAACTCAGGGCTCCGCTGACATCATTTCATTTAATCTTCACAGTAGCCCACTAAGGTAAGTATTCTTATTATCCCAATTTAGGTGATAGTGATACTGAAGATAAGAGTGCTTAAGTGATTTGCCCAGGATGACACAGATAGTAAGCAACAGAGCCAGGATTCCAACCCAGGTCGGCCTGACCCCGAGGCCAGAGTGCATAACCACTGCACTACACTGTCTTATGCAGCTTAAGTCATCTATAATTTATATGATTCATCTAGACCAGCAAGGATCAAAAGAGTTACCCAATACTGATTTCTAGCCAAAATTCTTAATTCCAACTCTTAGTTCATGTCGTAGCTTGAAAGGTGAGGACTAGAGAGCCCTGGTCAAAAGGCAGATTCCGTAAGAATTCCAGATTGAAAGTGTCAGGCTGTAGTTTTTGGTACTCAGAAGCTGTAGCAAGCAACTGGTACAAAATCCAGATGGGCTATTCAAGAAGTAATGTGGTCATCAGAGATCAAGATGAGTGGAAAAGGAACAGGGGTTATTTTATGCCACCAATTTATGGGCAACATGACATTGAACACACTTCAGCTGTAGCCAGGAGCTTTGTGGATCTTTATAGGCTAACAGATTACTCAAGTTAACAGGGAACTCTGGAGCCATTTGTCTGAGAGATAATAAACACATCATGTTTGTTTCAGTGCCCCTTCAGATTGCATCACAAATGTTTGGGCTTAGACCCTGGAAAGAGTTTTTAAAGCCTTTAATAATAAACTCTATGGCATCATTGTATTACTGCAGACATCCTTTTCTATCAGGGAATGAAAGTGCCTCCTGCATAAATTTCTCATGCTGCAATAGCATTTAATTAATTTCAACAAATCAGGAGTTGTACTATGGAACCACAGAAGTGTTTATTTTTAAGATGGAAAATAGTTATCTAAATTTATTTATAATTAAAACCTTGTCGTCTCTTTTGAGTCTCTCTGTAATCAGCTAAGGTACTTCATTCCTCAAAGAGATGGTATTGCTTGTTTGAAGTTATCCAGTCTGATAGGTACCTTACATTTCTAAGCCTCAGAGTTCTACTGACATTTCTGTCTCCCAAACAGATGTTTATTAGAATATGCCTTTTCTAGTTATTTCTTACTCTTCTTCTTCCCTGTTAACCAGTAGCTTTGATTTGAGAGATTTATTCCAGAGGGCATTGGCCAGGATTTGTCATGCATAAGCATGTAATCTAGTCTAAATTCTAGAGTATATCACTAACCATTTATTAGACGTTTCTGTTTGAATGTTTCAGAGTGAACTCATATGAAACAAACATAAATATGCATTCTTATCCTTATTTCTCCCTTCTCTCCCCATCTGCCTTTCTTGGTCAGTAGAATTACCATATCCCAAAGCTCTCAGGCAGGAAACCCTTGAGTCTTCTTTGTCCTTTATCTCCAACAGTTAATGTAGCACTAAATCCAGTTGGCATTTCCGCTGAAATGTTTTTGAAGCTGGTCCAGTGTGTCCACACTTGTTACCCCAGGCACAGGCAGGCCCTTTCACTACTGCAACAGCTTCCAGGTGCTGCCACACGTCCTCTGAGGTAACCCAACTCCATCATCTATGCATTTATTCAGTCGGATGTTTCAACACACTTCCTAGGCATTAGATACCATGCTAGACAGAGAATTCACCATGGACCTGCCTTTACAAAACTTAGATCTATAGATGGAAACAAAGGAGATTAACACAAAGAAAAACGATTATGATATCTCGATAAGTAGCATGAAAGAGTTGTATGCAGTACGCCATGGGGACAACTTACAGCTCTCCTCTCTTCAGTTCATCATACCTGTCACTGCAGATTCTTCTCAGCTTTCCTGATGGTACCTTCTTCCTCAAAAGCCTCCATGATCCCCATTTCCAGTTGAGTCTAGTCCTATGCAGGCCCCGCCATTCCTTCATGAGCTGGCTGCTCCTCCCCACCAAAAACCTCCAGAGCATACCTTCCTCTCTACTCATGCAGGACTCTTGCTGATACCTCTTGGGCCATGACTTCCCACCTCCAAGACTTTGTTTGTATCATTACTCACCCTCAAATGCCCTTCCATGTCTGCTGCATTTATCCAGATGTTCTCATTTTTTCAGTCCCAGTCTAAGATCCACGTCCTTCAGGATGCTCTCCCTGATGAAAATAATGGACCACATACTACTGAAAGATCTGCTTTCCATATCCTGTTATACACTCATTCAAAACCATTTATTGAGGGCCTTCTTGTACCAGGTGCTAGGAATGTGGTGGCGGACAAAGATATAAAGGTCACTGCTCTCATCTGTCCTACAGATGAAGAGGGACAAAGCAACAACACAAATGAACAATGACAGAGGCAATTTCAGAGAGCAGCAATAAATGCTAGGAAGAAAATTATACAACGTGTGTGAGTTTGGGAATGGGACTGGCCACTTTAGACTGGCTAGTCAGAGCAGGCCTCTCTGAAGATATCTAAAACCCAAGGAACCAGCCACACAAAGATCTCGGCAAAGTGTCCCAGAAGATTGAGAGAGCAGGGGCTAAGTCTCTCTTGTGGGAAGGTTTGGAATATTCAAGGAACAGAGAGGCCATGTGGCAGGAGCACACAGAGCCGAGGTGAGGTTGATAGGAGGTGAAGGTTGAGAGGTACAGGGCTAGATCATGTAGGGCCTTGAAGGGATTTGGGTTTTATTCTGAGCACAACTTGGCCAACTCTCCCTTCTTTCTCTTCCTCACCCTTAAAACCCAGAGACTGCTGAGATCATTTCACATTTTAAAGATTCACACTAGTTGCTATACACGGATGTAGAATGGACCAGATTAGAAACAGCAAGAGCCAACGGTAAGCTATCACACCAGTCCTGATGAGGGACGACAGTGACTTGGTATACTTGGTGGCAATAGAGATTAAACTTAGGTAGAAAAGGGATCTGTTTTGGACCTGACAGTGTTTCCTATCGGATTGGATGCAAGTGGATGGGAAGGAAAAAGAAACAAAGCATGCGGTTGCAGTGAAATGTGAAATGATCTCGGCAGTCTCCGAGTTTTAAGGGTGTAGCGTAACTAACTCATTTAATAAATATGTATAGGCAGCTCCTTTGTACTAAACACTGTACTAGGTATTAGAGATTGGTGATGAAGTTGTACATGGTTTTCCCATTGTTTACCTTTTCTACTTAATTCGTTTTTCCCTGTTCGTGTTTTAAATTTTGTCTCCCCATCTGGACCTGATAGTTCTTTGAGATCAGGAACTAATTGATGCCTTATCTGTATTCTCTGTTACATCCAGCATAGTCCTGAGCATGTAAGAAGGTACCCAACAAGCACAGACTTGATGGCTGAATAGAAACTGCAATAATCTCACGTGTCCATGATTTTATAGCTATAATACCAGCCTCCACATCCAGTAGACATACCAAGGAATTACTTGCACACTCAAGATGAAAATATCTAGCAAATTTATCTTTTGCTGTGTAGCTTGGGAGCATAAACAGCACTATGGAAATATACACATCACACAATCATACACTATACACACACCATCAGCTTTCCAATCCCATTTTCTTCTCCAGCCTTCGTTGTCTTATAATTTCAAGGTCAGCCTTGGTGGTCTCTGACCAAAACACACCATCCTCTCCTGCACAAACCTCAGCCCCTTTCCTATAAAGCAGGATTTCTCAGTCTCTGCACTACTGACATTCTGGGCCAGGTGATTATAGTGGGCTGTCCTGTGTATCGTAGGATGGTTAGCAGCATCCCTGATCTCTGCCCATTAGATGCTAGTTGAAACCACCCCCTGCGCCCACCAAGTTGTGACAGTGATCAAATGTGATTCGAAAATGTCCAGACAATTAGATAGACGTGATGGTTGCACAACTTTGTAAATATACTAAAACCACAATTGTACACTTTAAAATAAACTAAGTAACTAACTTTTAAAAATGTCCAGACATTGCCAAATGTCCCCTGGGGGGCACAATCATCCCCAGTTGAGAACTACTGTTTTAGAGAGAGGGAGATCTGATTTCCAAGTTCAGATATTCTTTGTTCTAGCTTCCCTTTTTTCTCCCCACCTGGCATTATAAAAACCTCTCTTTCTATATTATCACCCCGTTTAGCTTCCAGTGTTTTCTTCTCAGACTCCAATTCTCTATTTTCTAATTATTCCCTAAAGAGGCATTAAATAACAAGCCTACACCGTGTGACCATGTGCTGTGAACATAAAAGGCCCTTAGATTACCAGAGAGAAATTTGAAGACTGTGTTGCACTTGCAAATAATTGTTTATGTGATGTTGATTTCAAATCTGTGCTATTTAAATTACTGGAATTTTGTTATATAGTTGATGGGTAAGTTCAAAGACAGTTCTGGAACTTTTTTGTCTTTAGGATTACTTGTGCTATTTTTGTTATGTTTGGTTTTTTCCCCTAATTTATCAGTTTCCTCCTTGGAATTTTTGTTGAAGTGTAATCTCTCCTTTGTTTTATGAGAACTGGCCAGTCGTGTTTTATGAGAAAATTCCATCCTAAAACAGAGTTGAAATAAGGTTAAAAAGAACGGGTAACAAAAAACAGGGGGATTGTTTATATTTGTGTGAGTCAGCTTTAGCCATATTTTACTGTGGTAAGAAACAACCAAAATCTCAAGCCACATGGTTTACAGCAAAGTTTGTTTCTTGCTCACTAGTTCTGGGACTTAACTGCAGTCTCTACAAGGATGTGGCATTCCCACATCTCACTGCAGTGCACATTCCACTGTGCAAAACAGGTCTCATGGCGAAGCCCAAGGACAGAGGGGCAGGGACTATACTTCTCCCAAAGGGAAGGGAGCTGCAGGGATTGCCCGGTAGAGAGAGGTGGCAAATATTTTTTAAATATGATCAATGACAATGATTTTCCACCACAAGTACCAGTAATTTTTGAAACATGCAACAACCTCTGGGTATGGAAAAACATATCTATGATGTTTCCAGCTGCTAGTGCTAATGTTAATGTTTTTATAGAAAGTTTCTGTTTTCTGATTGTTCTTGGTGAACAATCTTTTCTGTTCAACTTAATGCCCACTAACACTTTCTGGTTTTTTTTTTTTTTCTTTCTTCAGAGAATTCGTGACTTAGAAGATAAAACAGACATCCAGAAAAGACAAATAAAGGACTTAGAAGAAAAGGTATGTGTTAAATTTAATATCAATTTTTATTTTTATTTTTTTGATCAGAAAATAATACCGATTTCACTCACTGTGTGTGTTCTTTCTTTCTTCTCAGTTGTTGTGTATCTTGCACAGGCAGGTGTAGTCACAGTAAATGTAGACTTCACCCTCCGCCAGGCGCCAGGGTTCCAGCAAAGTTTCTGCCTTCAGTAACCTATAGTCTTGACATTTCTGCCTTTTTGTTGATTCCTATTCTTTTCTATATGTGTTTGGTTTTTTTTTTTTTACTTCATTTTCCCCTTCCTCATCTTCGTTTCCTTTCCAAAAGTTTCATTTGAGTTCTGTTATTCTCCTTTGCTCTTTCTTTTTAAAATCTTTGTAGCACCTTAAAAAAAATCTTTCCCATTATTATTCATAAAAAGCCCTTTCTTCTTTGTGCTGCAATTTCACCTCAATAATAAGTTCAGAAATGTAGATTGACACATAATTATGCCCTCATGTCACTTGCCCAGTGGTCTAAAAGAGGAACTGCTCCTTCCAAGTCGGCCAGCACTTTTTTGTGGTAAAGCATAGTAGTTCGTAAAGACGGCATTTGGTGGGGGAAGGGACAGGGCTCGGACAGGGATGCTGAGCAAGCTGCAATGAGTTAAACAGTCTTGCACAACATAGAATTATCCTGCCCAAGATGATAGGAGCACCCTGCTGAGGAACACAGCAAGGATGGCCAGAGGTTTTCTGTGGAGTTCCGGTCTGATTGACTGGAAGTAACTGCCTGAATCCCCGTGTTGCAAAAAAATATGGTTGTTTTGCAGTGTCTTCCATGGGCACCCAAGAAGAAAATAGCAAACCATCTCCCATTTCTGAGACTATGGTTAGAATTTGATTCATCCCAAATTGTTTCTATAATTGTCCATATATGTGAGATCAGAGGGAGCTGGGAGGGTCCAGTAGCCAGACCATCAGCCACCGGGCTTCTTATGTAGGCTGGGTCTTCAGGTACTTATTTGACCTTGGGTAAGTGACTTCACCCCCTGTGTCTAAGCCACGTCTATAAAATAGAGATTATAACACTAGCCCTCACCTCCTCTCATGAGTTCCCTGAGAAACAAATGAGGTCACTTATGTGAAAATTAGGAAACACTAAGAACGTCAGTCAAATTAAAAAGGTATAATTTTTAAAATTTCCAAACACAAAGTACACATCTTATGCAAAATTTGAAATTTTCCTCATTTCAGAAGTTTGCTAGTTAGTTCTGCAGAACTGAATGAGGCAAAGGTAAAGTGCATGAATCAAAGACCGAGTCTAATTTCCCAGCGTTGGGCAGGAATACCCACAGAAGGATTATTCCACAGCTTCTCTGGTTGTGAAAGGACATACCTAATGTCTTCCATGTTCCACATTTTTGAATGGCGAGTTCTTGGCTCTAGTCATTCTCTCTGCTAATTCATAAACAGTCCCGGGGCTGGCTCAAGGAGGAAGTTATGGTTAAGACAGTTCTGCTCCAGAAACTTTAGTTCAGTTTAGTTCTCATTCAACTGAGGAAAAATAAACAAACAAACAACGGAATTTTTTATATCTATCAATGTCACCACCCTAGCCATTCTCTTAATAAGCCCCACAGAAGTGTTGGGAGGAGAGGGATTAAGATTATGTTCACTGTCAGAATTTAGTGTGAACTTCTCATTTCATGGATCTGAACTTCCTAAATATTTATGATAATGGAGTAACATACTTAACAGGAAATAAGAGTCCTTTAGCTACCAAAGCAACATAGTCCATGTATCATAGTAAATTAAGCCGCTTCACAAACCATACAGTTGGTTTCTGATTAGAGATTTGAATGAGCTGTGAGGTTTATAACGCACCTTCTATTCGTTTGACCTCAATTCTCCTCGTCCACAAGCCTAGTAAAAAGGCTAAAGATCACTTATGTCAGAGATATTCTTCATTCTTTCCCTTGTGGAACTTGAACATGGCGTCAGGGTGCATACGGTATTCCTTCTTTGTTCCTAATTCCCATGCACACAGTTGGTATAAATCGGGTGATAACCACGAACATAGCAAAATCGCTTCAAATGTGCAGCACTTGACCATATCCAAAGCACTTGCACTTTCATTGTCTCATTTGATTCTCATAATTCTTCTATGAGACAGACACAGCAGATATCACAGTCCCCTTTTAGCTGGGAGAGATTAAACAGCTTTCCCAAGATCGTATAGACAGTCCATGGTAAATCAAGGCTAGAGGTCAGAGTGTCTGGCTCTTGAGTGCCACAGTCTGCCCACCGTACTGCATAGACTCAGAATCTCATTGCAGACTGAGTGATGGGGTTCTCCTCATGCCCAGAGAGGTAGTGTTGATATCTGACCTTCTCATAGGAATGGTAGAATCTTTCCATTTTTCTCCTTCTCCATCCTCTTCTGCTACATGTGCCATCATATCACTCTCCATCTTCAAGGACTGAAAAAAAAGGACAGAGTTTCTGCTTTTCAGATTCATAGAATAGTCGCCAATACATGGCTCTTAGCACCATATATATAATTTGTGCATACAATTTCACCATAGTGAAACAAGAGCCTGATAAGCAGTGGCATTAAATGACATATGCAAATAACATGCCCAATATGAGAATGCCATGCCATACATTACTCTTATTCAAAGATGTCATATCCAACAGAGTGATCCTAAAGTGTGATAACAAGGCAAAAGACTTTGTGACTCTATAAGAATAAATCACCAAGGAAATTGATATTTGAAAAAACTGACCTGATCTGTGACCTTTATAATTAGTATACGGTTGGTTGTATACCAGAGCTACACAAGTTATTTAACTGTTCAAGTACCTGCTTCTCCAGTGAAGGTTCTTGGTGAAGAGACAAATCAGAGTCCATTTAACTTCTATGAGTCAAATAAGGATAAATCTATCTCAGAAGCAGGACAGGCTGGAACAGCATCATGCATTCATTATCCAAAGTGTCCACTGATGGATGAGCATATCTCATACCAAGAGCGTGACCACACATCCTCCCTCATCCAGCACAGTTTGTACCTGTGGCCCTGATGGAATTACTAGTAGTGTTCCCTTTCCCCCTCAGGAGTGTCCCACTGTGGATAATTGATCGTGTTCACCCTACATATTCTTTCTGCTGTGCCTTAGTCCTAAAACCTAACACATTAACCAAACAATGATAGCACTGAGTGATTAAGTATATGCTCTGATCAATTTGTGTTTTCGAAATACCCTCCCACACATTAAAAGTAGAGACAGTAATATATAATAGAGTAGGACTCAGGAGCTCTAGGCTCTAGGCTTCACTATACCATGAAATTCTGTGAAATTAGTCTATTGATAAACTGCTCTGTACTTTTTTTCTCACTTATAAAATTAGAAGCTTAGACCAATTATCTGTAAGACCCCCCTCAGAATTCTAAAATGTGTATGTCAACGTTAGTTGAACACCGGTTATTCATTGCACTGCTGTGCCAGCAGATAAATAAAAGGTATGTTTATTTTAAACAAAATGTACTTGGTGTGTACGAGAGAAGTGGTCAGCCTTGAGCGATGTGGGAAAGCTGAGGTTTTGAACTGCCTGAATGGCACTACAGAAATTCAGATTTACGTAATCTTCTTCTTTTTCTTCTGCAGTTTCTGTTTCTATTCTTGTTCTTCTCTCTTGCCTTTATTCTATGGCCTTGATGTCAAGGTGCCTCTTAAAGGTAAGATTCTATTTAATTCTCAAAATGTGGTTTTAAGAGGTATTTGATGTGAAGGATGCTGCATATAGTAGTTACTATGCCCGTGTTTTAAGAAAATAAATACACTTGGTTTGGTTAGCTTAAATGCCATAAAATGAGAAACAGATTCAATCTATTTGGGTGATTATTAAAGACATAATGCAAACATGAAGTATGATGGAAATCAAAAATTTTTTTCCTAGTTAAGGTATTGCTTTGGGAAATCACAACGTCAATGGATCTCAGTAGTCTCATCGTAGGCTCTCATTACACAGAAAGAGTTGCTTCCTTATCTGCAAAGTGAAGAAATATGAGTATATTTTTAGTATCTCTTCCAGTGTGAAAATTATGATTCTGTAAATCTAACAAACTAAAAATGACTGATTTTTTTTAACCCTTTCTCCTAGTCGCTCTTCATCAGAACTCAGGAAAATGGGCTGTTAAGTGAAATTGGGTCTTGTTTTCAAATAAGATAATTTTCAATGTGAATTTAGGGAAAAAAATAAAAGAAGAATCCTATTATTACTAAATTATCAAGTCCATGTCCCATGAATACATATATAAAAATTCTTAATGATTCCTAATGCTATTAAAAATACAGATTCCAGGGCCTTCTGACTCAATAATCAGATTACAGGAGATGGAGGTGAGATAGAGGGTGGAAGAGGTGAAGAGCAAGGATTGATTTATATATATATTGTGAGGAGATCAGCCCTGTGCTAACATCTGCCAATCCTCCTTTTTTTTTTTTTTTTTTGCTGAGGAAGACTGGCCCTGGGCTAACATCCACTCCATCTTCCTCTACTTTCTGTGGGGCGCCGCCACAATGTGGCTTGCCAAGTAGTGCGTCGGTGCACGCCCGGGATCTGAACCGGCGAACCCCGGGCCGCCACAGTGGAGCGCGTGCACTTAACCGCTTGTGCCACTGGGCCGGCCCCCAATATTTTTTAACAAGCATACTAGGTGTTTCTCATGTCTATCCAGGTAGAGAAACCACAAATCTTAATACCACTGTTCAAAAATGAGGAAGGGCTAGCTAGCTGCTATTCTAAATCCATTTATCATCGTCTGTGTCAACTTGAGTTACCCTATTAAGTTGTATTATGCAGGGATCTCTCCTGGACCTCGTGTTATTTAACATTTTCTATAGCAGGCTGAAAAATGGAGAGGAGACACTTTCTCTCTCCGCGGTGTCAAGTCTGTTACCTGGATGTGGAACAGACAAGCAAGAGTGCTTTGGCATGACCTGACACCAGGAGGGAGTCAAGCAGATGTGCCAAGAGAGTTTATATCCTCAGACAACCAACCCTCTGGCTATATTCTTTCTTCCAAAAGACTTTCTTTTCAGACTGACAATTAGCCTTTGTCTGGCAAGAAGGGTGGTAGCCTTGCGGCACATAATGAAGAAGACCGAGTCTCTTAAATTGAATGAGAATATCTAAAGGCAAACCGGTGAGATTCTCCAGGAAAGGATCAAAATGGCCAGAGCATCAGAAAACAAACAGCCCTTCCCCCAAAGAACAATAAATAAATAAAAAGAGCAAATAAAGTTCTGTGAGGCTCAAGTACTACGTAATGGTTTAGGGGAGAAAAATCAAACCTTATAAATACTAGCTAGAAAATGAGTAGATTTGAACATTAACATCAATAATGGCTAACGCTTACGTGCCAGGTGCTCTTTAAGCAGTAGATACATTAATCCTCACAAAAGCCCCTATAAAATAGGTGATGTGTTTATTCCTGTTTTTACAGTTGGAGAAACCGCAGCGTGAGACTTTCCCCAGACCACACAGCTACAATTGGCAGGACTAGTATTTGTACCCAGGCAGCCTTACTCCAGAGTCCACTTTAACCACCATACTGCCTCATAAATGAAAGAGAGCATTTCTCTCGTGTGTTAAACATCATTTATGTTCATATATATCAGCAATCAGAAATGTCTTCTATTTGTATAGTACGTCTTAGCTATTGGGTTTTGAAATTACAGTGTGCTTGTCTCTATACCTTTTCCCATTTTTAATAATTCTTTGAGGGATATACATGATTTGACTTGCTTTTCCTCCAGAGTCACACAAATTGACACTTAATAATTGTCTGCTGAATAAAAGAACATAACGATAATTAATAAAAATATAGCAAATTGATGGGCAGATGGTTGAATGAATGAATAGCTGGGTAAATGAATGTGAAAGCAGATTTGTGACAGGTTAGATCAGAGCCCTGGAGAGCATAGTAATGTAATACCAAGGTAACTATCCAATTTGTTCTTTATATGTCATTTGGAGAATAACTTAAAAGAATGAGTGAAGAAAGAACACATAAACAAATATGTTCTCCCCCAGCTCCCTAGTGGGGTACCCTCCTTACTGGACTCAGGGCTTCTCCTCTAGACACTCATATAACTCATTCTCCACACAGCAGCCCGAGTGAGTTTTAGGAAACACAAATCTAATCATGCCCCCTTCCTGGGAAAGCATCACCAATAGGCTCAAATCCCAATTCCTTAATGTGGCCAACAAAGCCCTGTATGGTCTAACCGCAGACAATCTCTCAGGCTTCGTGTTGCTCCAGGATCTCCCTTGATGAGCCACACTCCTTCCTGCCTTCCACAAGGGTTTACCCACACAGTCCTTGTGCACAGAATACTTTCCCCCCCACTTTATCTCATAAACACCTACTCTCTCATCCTTCAGATCTCAGCTCACTTGTGATTCCCTCAGGGAAGTCTTCCTTGATTTCACTTCTGGCCAAATTTTACATGCATTTGGGTTTTTGTTTTTGTTTTTTTTAATTAATGTCTCTCTCCCTCATTGTATATAAGGTTCATGAGGGCATGGACCATACGTGTTTTCTTCACCCTTGTATCACAAATACCTAGACAGTGCCTAGCGTGTAGTCGACAATCAATAAATACTTTTTTAATGATTGTGATATTATGATAAGGAAGAGGAAGAGGATATCCTGTTTTGCAGTTGAAGAAGTGCATTGCGTATCTGTTATTTTATTTAATACTTACAACAACCCTGCAAAATAGTATACTATGATAACTCTCCAAACATTGATTTCCTAATATAAAAAATTAGTAAGTAATAGCATCTACTATTTTTCTGAGGATTAAGTGATATTATAAGCAAAGCAAGCAGTGCAGTACCTGGCACACAGAAAAGCTCATTAAAAGCCAACTTCCTAGGACGCTCATTAAAAGCCAGCTTCCTAGGACATACCAACCATTCTGTCTTGGATCATACATTCCGATATGTGCTTCTATCTCTCTGGACCACATTTTCCACACCATCGTGAACTGGTTAATATCCATTTGTCCTTCCCATCTCAGTGTAAAATCGGGGACTCAGGCAAGCCTCCCATGATCCTCTGGTTTCAATTAAGTTTCATTCAATATTATCTGTTTTCCCCTCTAGGATTCTCATAGACCAATTACCTAACAATCCTCAGTGTCAGTTTTCTCATCTGTAAAATGGAGGTAATAATAACTGCTACCATTTATGGAACACTTTACTATATGACAAATTGCGTATGAGGGTGATGGAGGGAGAGGTGTCAGGAACGGCCCTTAGGGTCCTGGATGGTGTAACGGGTTGGGTGGTGGTGCCCTGTAGAGAGATATGGAAAGCAGAAAGAGGGAGTGACTGCTGTTCGTGATTTTTGGTTCTTTGTGATACTAAAGAACAGGAGTTAGCTAGTTTGTTAATCAATATGCCTCTAAATGTGTGATCCATAACGATCTAAACCACCTTCTAGCAGTTGGAAAACCCTAAAGAATAATGAACAGAAGTAGCCTAACAATTGATCTCAACAAATATTTGCTAAGTGTCCTCTATGAACCAGGAAGTGTAGTAGGTACTTAGATACTAGGGTCACAAGTCAGAAGTGGCATCACTATATTCACTGACTTAAGACCGGTGGCATGTAGTCAACTCTCAGAAACGAGAGCGGGAATCACTGTTCTACGGAGGAGGAAAGTAAAGCTCCGTGCTGGTAAGCCATCCATTCACAAGAATCCATGAGATTCTGTAATATCCAGAAGGGCCTTCTGAATGAATTTATATTCTATACCGTTTTAGTTAGAGTGTACTGACATTTAGCTCACTGAAAATTGGCCATCTCTGGTGACCCATTGAATAACACTTCAGTTATTCAGATGCCAATTTGAATAAATATGGCTTTGCTGTAGAAATCATAGTTCCTTTTACAGATACTCACTTGACAGAAATTTAACATTCTGGGAGACTGTCTGTAAGTCCATTTGTTTTTTTAAAACCAACATGGTTTTACTCAAATGATGGGCTTTACTTCAGTTGTGACAGGCAGAAATGATGCATATGTGCTGAAACAGAATTGAAGATTTATCTCTGAGAATATACAAATTGAAAGTTTGCAAGTAAAAGACTTTTTGTGTTGGCATATTTGTTTTATATATACAAATACTATATATATATATATGTTTATGTATATACACACACCTTAAAGCATCTTTTATGTACATTCAGATCAGTTCTCTTCTTTACAGAGAATATGGGGATATTATAGTTGTAATTAGTTGTTTGGTGCTCTCATCTCAGTGGACTATAAATATGAACACAGTCTGTTTTCTCAAAACATGGCTTTCACTCAGGTTCTGTCTTATTTCCCTCTCTCAATAAATCTTAGGTTAGTTTCCCAATTTTTTAGTCACCTTCGGTTCTCGAAAATCTAGCCCAATTTAAAAATTCAATCTCAGACTGTTTCATCTCATTTCTTCCCCTCTCCGCAGTGGAGGAGGAGGTTCATGCCTGGCTCTAAGAGATCTCTTCCCCTTCCTTCTTCAAGGCTCAGCTCTTCTGGAGGGCAGGGAAGAGGAAGAGGGAAAGCCATATGTGCTTCTCAACTCCACTGGAGTGGCGTGGCCCCCTCCCTGGTGGTCGATGCTGTTTCTCTGGCTATTACTGACCAGCTCTTTATGTCTTTTCTATGAGAGGTGATCAAAGACTGGCCATTTGGGAGACGTATGTGTGAGTTCTTCAGGAGCTGTGCAGGGCATGGCCGCTGCACTATGCCCTGACAGGCTGAGGCCCAAGCTCCTCCACTGCCACTCTGAAGCCCATCACTGGTGGTACCAGCCCTCCCTCTCCAGTTCTCTGCCCAGAGAGACAGAGGAGGATGAGCAATAGGTGAGCGTTGCTCTGTGTTTGAGCAACAGAATGCAAGACTCCTTAATGCAAGCACCACCAATCTCTATTTATGCCTTTTGGCGTGCTCCCCTCCCTCCCATATTATACTCTCATCCCAACCACTGCGCTTTCTTCCTCTCGTTCTCCTCTGTGACTCTTTCACTCTTTCTTCCCAGTCTAATCTAGTCTTTGGGAGCAGACAAAGTGGCTCTGCAAATAGGAATTCCAAATATTTCTGACTTGCACCATGGTGGGAATTTCTTTGAATCTTTAATTTGCCTCTGTGTGGTGGACTGGAAGTGTCCTTGGGGTCCTAAGGGGCTCCTTTTCCAGCACTTTGGATCTTGGTCACCATTTCTGGGGTACCAGTAAAATCCTGCTACAGAATTATTATCTTTATTTTATAGATGGGGAAATTAGGCTTAGAGAAGTAAAATAACTATGTCCTTGGACATACAGTGAGAAATGGAAATCCCATCTTCTCCATCCATGTCATTCAGACTCTAAAGGCCACGTCCTTAAGCAGCACATGATAGCATGTCCTCTGTGCCATTTCCAGCTTTCACTGGAAGAGAGCATTAGGTCCTAAACTTCTACCCAAGTGAAAACCCAGACAGTGGACTTAAAGAGGAACAGGGCTAGGAGTCCTGCCTGGCATAGCCCAACAAAGTACCTTTTCAGGGACATCTCTGGGGCCTACCAGGAAACCTGTGTGGCAGAATTTCCAAGGAATCCCCAGGTCAGGACCTTAGGGTGGAGACCACCTGCCATTGGATACAATTGTTGGGGAGGAAGTATGACATAAAAGTAAGTAAGTCACTGAAGGGCGTGGACAAACCTGCTTTTAAAATAATATCTTAAATTGATATTTGGGAGCATGATGGTTCAGTTGCGCTTCTTAAGGCACTGCCTTGGAAAGCCCCAGAGGAAAAGGCAATAATGGTAATAGCTAATATTTCAGGCCACTTACGATGAGACAAGAACTATTAATTCCTTCGTATGCATTGTTGCAAGAACCCTTAAAATAGATACTTCTGTTTTCTCGTTTAAAATTAAAGTAATTAAGCTTAGAGAATTTCTTTTTATGTAACTTGCACAAGATCATACAGCTCAAAGAGGTGGTAAAGAATAAAAAATATTTTTCTTTAAAAAAAGTGTTTTTTCTGTTTCAGTTATTAACAGAAAGGATGATTAAAGAATTTTCCCCTCTGTTTTACAGAGTAACCGAAAACACGGATAAGACCCCAGAAAGGCAAATACTTCTAAACCTTCAAAGATGGCAGAAATGTTTACAGCACTGAGAGGGAGATCAAAGCTAAGAACTACCCTGTAGCCAGGACTACAACTGTGTATTTTAAAGCCATTATTCAAGGTTTCTTACTTGACAGTTCCTACATGACCCTGTTGAAAATCTACAATATATGCTGCATTTAATGAAACATGTATATGTCAAACCAGAAGAAAAGAACTGTAAACATATATTGTGTAAAGAAAAAATTCAGCAATGGAAACAGTTTCAGCAGATCAAGCAAAGATGTGTCTTGGGCATGGAACCAAAGTTACAAAGAAACATTCTACCCCTGCTGTGCAGGGGGGTCATTTTAATGTAACACCACACCCCATGGAAACATTAGTCCTGAAATAAACGTCATTTGAAAAAATGAAAACAAAAAAACAAGGGTGGGGGGGAATGAAGCACGAGGAATACCTATGAGGAGCTATTTACAATAAAATGTTTCATTTGAAAAGTCTGGTTTCTTACTACAGGGATTTGCTTTTCTGTCTTTATTATTGTTTAAAACTCAGGAACAGAGACATCTGCGATGTGAATGGGAAGAAAAGCAGTCTCTCTCCGTTTGTTTTTTCTGCAAAAGGTGGAGCTTGTGGGGTGCATTCCACAGGTGACAGATGAGAAGTGGATCACAGTGACCCCAGCTAAACTGGCCACTGAGGCGAAGGACCCAGGCGAATGTAACATAAGAAATAAAAGCAGATTTGATGCTTCCTTGGCCTTCTGTCACATCTGTGTTCCTCCACGAGCAACAGACTGATCTCTTTCATGTCGAAAATTAAGAAGAAGATGCTCTAAATCACAAGCTCCCTGACACAGTTCTGTTTAGAATGACACCGTCTATAAGGAACATGGGCCAGAGAGCATCTCTGAATCTTTCCATTTCCAAAATACTGGTTTTCAAATGGCTGCTTAAAGTTGCCTGCATAAATATATGATTTGAATAAAAACACAATAGAGGCAATAAGTAAACTTCTACCAACAGTTAAGTTTGCCACAGAGATGTGAATATTAAATGTAATTATGAGTTTTTTTTAAGTATCCTGATATGCCTAGAGCATTCTGACCTCTTATCATTTAGACTGATAACATTTTTTCCCAGAGAGCTGACAGCAACAAGATAACTACTTTTTTAAAATAGAAGTAACATTATGTTACTGATATGGTCATTTTCTACCAGAGATGATGAGAAGACTGGTACTTTTCCTAAGTTATGTAATACTGAGTCTTGGATTCAGCTCTGAGAGCAAATAAATATTCCTGAAAAGCTAATTTTACACCTCATTTACTGTAGATAACAAAACAGCCTCAATTTTTCAAATTGTCAAGGTTTTATTTACAGGGCTAGAATTCCCATGCATAAAGAATGTGTGTAGGGAGCCAGAAACTCTTTCTATGAAATGTTACACAAATCCTTCCTTAAGTGGGTTCAGTATATTATTCTTTGGTTTTAGCACTGGCATTTTCAAAGCCAGAACAATAACTGAAGAATGTATAAGAAAAGCTAGAATGCTGGGGTCTCACTTTTTGTTCTTATATTTACTGCTGACCCAGGTATCTTTGGCCCAGTCACTTAACCTCTCTGTGCCTCAGTTTCCTCATCTGCAAAATGAGGTTCAAATGCTTTTTCATAGCTGGTTTTTTTTTTTTTTTTGCAATTCTGGAACAAGAGGTGCTTAAAGTAGCACAATGTGCTTTGTAATTATTATGACTGCTGTGTTATTTGACTTTCTTGTATTTTTGAGAAAAAGAGTCCTCTGTGTAATAAAATAGTGCTTCAGTTTGGTTAAATCTAAGCACTACAGCACTGAAGCCTTTCCCATCAAACTACCTGGGACATTACTAGCAATAAAGATTGACAGATCCAGAGCCCAGATCTCTAATAACCTGTAGTAAATAGATCATCTCATGCTATTGAGCAAGATAGAAGAATGTGTCATTTCAGTGGTAAGCATCTCCTAGCTCTCCCTGTTGTATATGCGTGCCATGATACAAAACTCCACTTTTATGATAGGAGAGCCAACCATGAAATTAAGGCTTGGAGTGAACCGATAGCATCACATAATTAGTCTGATTATCCCTTTCATTTTGGAGGAAGGTCCAGTGATATGACCTACTGGGAATATACAAAACAACTATCCTTCTGCTGGATTCTTTGTTCAACTGGGTAGGTTCCACATTAAATATGAATAGTACATTCATTGTGCAGGCAATGGGAAGGAGGGCCACTACAATCTGTGACCCAACCCTTTCAAATCTCAGAACATATGGAAGAGGATAAATTACTCTCCCATATCTTTGACTTTTCTCTTCCATTGCTCTTCATTGGCCATTCTGGAGTCCACCTGAGCAAATTCACACTCCATCTGCTCTACCAAACCTACTTTCCTTCCCTTCCCTTCATCTTGCTTTCCCCATCAAGAAACTTGTAGGTTAAATTTGATATCCAAGCACTGACTATGGTTTAAATGATTATAAACATTTGTAAAAATAGTGTGGTTTAATCATATACTTTATCTGCTACAAATCTGATTATATCGTACACACACAAAATCATACAAGAGCAATGACAGCTAGGAAGACCATCTAAGCAGCTTTAGATGTGTTTAGAGCAAATGCAAAAGGAGGGATTCTTTCTTTTTGCTTAAGATCTAGGCAATTAGCTAATTTCTCTAGATTTTAGGCTAAAGAGTGATGTTTTTACCAAGGCTTACTAATGATCCTCAAAATTAATATATCATTGGGTAAGGCTAAATATTTTGGCAGATACATCTCTTTGTTATCCAGTTCCACAATTATAAAAACATTAGCAAAATTGTAAATGTATGTATCAGTCACTGATGCATCCATGGAAATGGATCATATCTAAATGAATGCTTCCCTTGCATATGATGTTCAGCAATAGTAAAAAAGAGTGTCTTATTTTAATAATGGAGAGATTTACTGTGGCTGCACTTCTTACAGAGAGCAGATAGCTCCACTCTGATCTTTAATTTCTGTACCTTAACTATCCTGACACATTTGGCTAATGACTTAGTAGCAATCAGAATAACATTCTTCCGGGTTCATTTACTTCATTTTTCTTAAAAAAGCATTCATCTCTTAGAAAATAAGCATTACTGAAAATATTGAAAAATAGTTTGAGATAAAATGAAAGCCCCACTTCAGCAGTTATTCAGGAGAGGAACATTTTCATGAGAAAGGAAAATATAATGGAAGACTATATTTGGCTGTAATACTAGAAAGCATCTATTATTAAATTGCTAAATTACTAACTTTTTTTTTACGCCATCCAAGTTTTAGGAAATACTGGAATTTGCCAGAAATAACTATCAGATCCCTTTTAACCTATGTCATATAAATGAAATTATTGCCAAGAGTGAGGTTTTAGGAGCCGAAGAATAACTTTTGCTGTGATTTTTCTTCCATTCACAAATAACCGCTCACATAGGTGGTGTGGTTGTTCAGTAGGGTAGACATGATGTAGAAGGCTCACGGGTTGTCACTGGAGTAGAAAGGGGACATTTGTTCTCCACTAGTAATAGAAGTAAAGTTTTGCCAGATAATTTTGCCACAGTATTTTATTTCAACTTACTTTGATTGTTTTCGGTTTAAAATAAATCTCTGGCCAACGTGTTCCTTTTTACCTGTTATCAACATTTTATGTAAACCCATTTTGTAGTTCATATGTTCAATGTCTTCAATGTAATTCATAAGTTCGTTGTTTTAAAATGAAGCATGTCTTTTTAACTTGGTGTAGGTTTTCATGGAAACTGTAAAAATAGAATTTATCAGTTTTTTGTTGATGTTTTATTAATTGGATCATGTGTATTATGTTACATCAAAATAGACAGCAGAGACATTGTATTTTTTAAATATTTAATTGCATTTTTTTGATCTGTCAAAGAGTGGCATAGACTATATGTATTTATCTACTATATTGAAAAGTTCATTATAACCTCTGAGAGATCAGTAATCAAAGCAAATCTTAGATGACTGTTTAGGTCATGAATTAATGCTCCCAGGGTGGGCCCAAGCCTCTCCTGAAGTGGACTTCTTTCTAAAGGGAAAAAAGTAGGTCACAAGGTCCTGAGGGATGAAAGCTTCCATTCTGTTCAACTGCCTTGTCATTTCTATATAATATATTATCTTGAGACTGAATTTCAGGCATATTGGCGAGAGGATTCAGACATAACAGAAGGTTGGAGCTGACCCTCTGATTCCATTCCAGTCCTGGGCAGGGCAGTTTCACATGTCTTGGCTGCTTTTAGTTTGGCGTTTTAGTTCTTCCTAAATAAATGTTCTATTGCTGAGAGTCCAAGTCCAATGTTTAACCAAAATTACTAAAGATATACATCAAGGGTCAGTGTGGCAAAAATAGAAGGATTATAATTTCCTGTATTCAACATAGTGTATCAAACTCAGAGGTATAGGTGGTTGATTGGGTGAAGTTCCTGCTTTCTGTCTTTGTATTTTTGCATTGAGGTCTTTGTACCCATGCTTATATTTCCATCCTTGTTGTATCAAAGTTCTGTAGGATGGGAGTGGTGTAGATAAACAACTCTGAGTCCAACTTTGCCTACAATCAAGACTCCATAAACTTGCTACAGTGTGAATGACGCAATTTCCCAAAAGCAGATCCCCAGTATCCATTAATAACAGTAACCACTTACATTTGATTGACATCTCACAAAATGTGCCTATTTTCTTCCATTCACCATAATAACTTCCCACAATGAGGCAGATTAAAATCCAAACACTTTTATAAATATGTGATGTACATATATACACATATATATTCTGTACATAGTATGATGGTGTGGGCGCTTACTAAATGTGTACTTCTGTCCTAGGATTGAGGACTTAAGGAAGGAGTTTTTCTGATGCTGCTAGGTACCTCAAGTTTTTGTTTAGCATCTGATGTCTGTGCTCTTTCCCTCCTTGCCTGCCTCTCCCTCCTCCATCTTCTGTCCATTACTACTATTTCCTGTTGTTGCCTGAGACAAAAAACTACTCATTGGTTTTCTAATTATTCAGGCCCATAAACCAGCCTTGTGATGCCAATGATTTTCTGGGACAAGCAACAGAAAATCTAGCACAATCCACAGTATTAATATCAGCCAAAAGTCCTATATTTTTATCAGCTAAAAATCCCATTCCAAGAAGGGTCCATGCATGTTTTAACCTTCAAGATCCAATCCTGTGGGGACTCAAGTATAGAGCCAATGTGTCTGAATACGTAATTCCCCGGATGTCTGTTGTACTCATGAAGCCAGGGGGCCAGTTCCTCAGTTTTCATCCAATCAACTGCCTCAGCTGGAGTTCCTTCTCTCCATCTCGTTAGCATGACTCCATATATTGCTTCAGCGCTTGCTTATTAATGGAAGAAAACTATAAAGCGACCGAGTTTCGCCACAACGATCCTCTGAAGTGCACCGAACATGTACATGTACTGTATGTATTACCGTAGAGTTTGGAATCAACTAATTGTATGTAAAGTTTTATGAATGGTTATTTTATAATTTATGTATTTAATATAGGAGTCAATGAGCTCTGGTGTTTTAGTTTGTATAAAAATAAAAAGCTGCATTTTTTAAAACTTTTATCTTGCATTGTTCATAGGTTTTTGTTTTGTTTTGTTTTTGTAACTGAACTCTTATCTACTTTGGAAAAACGAGGTGAAGTAAATCAGGGCTATAGTGTATTGTCAAGCAACAATCTCTACATCATGGATAGCAAATAGGTTTCTTCTCATCCATCCACTCTGAATTTTTTATTGTGCCTACCAGGGGCACTCTGGTGAGGAGTCCAAGGCAGAATTTACATTCATGAGGAGAGCACTGTAGTTCTCTCTCTGAGTACGGTTTGGAAGAGAATCTTGCCAGCTGTTTGCCATCCTTGTTCTAGATGTTATACTTCTTTTTCTTTATCCACCTACCTTTTTTCTCTACCTTGTAGAGTCACTAGATGTAATGAGTTAACAAGTGTGTGTTACGTGAGCATCCATTGTGTGTGCCCGTCCCTATGGCCTGGTATGTATGGCGCTATCCTCAGAGAGCTTACAGTTTAATGCAGGAAACAACCCATGTATACGTGAAACAAAGACCCAATATGGCACAATAATTTTGTAGGTCACTGCTAAGGACTATTGAAAATAAGTATTTGAGAAGGGATTCAAAAAATTCATGCTAAGAATGTTTCTTCTTTCAATTGTAACCTCTTCTCTTTAGCAAAAAGTGTCACTCATCAGTTCATGTCAATGTCCTGTCACCCATTTATAACAACCATCTATGCGCCACGTCAAATCCTTACAACAGAGAAGAAGAAGACATAGCCCTGGCCCTCAAGACATCACACTCTATATTATTTGATGAAGACTTGCAAACTGGCTGAGTCTCTATGAGAAGGGTACCAAGCATATCAGCCTGCCACGAAATAGGCAATTATTGTTATGGATTCTGTCTAATTTTACAAATGAAAGCTCAGTTTTGATGACCCCCAATTCTGGTACAGTGGTGTATAACTCAACGACTCAACTGACTTCTCCTAGCTCCACAGGAAAGTACCCCAGTGTCTTCTTGGCACTAAAGGGGGTGGGGGACGCTTCCTACCGTAGTGCCATTGAGACCAGTAAACATCCATGAGGCCCGTACAAAGCCTACACAACAGGATTCCTCCTAAGGGCTTGTGACACAGCCCTGCCCTGCCCTACAGGTGAGTAAGTGCCGCCACAGAAGCGCAGGTGTGTGGTCAAATGCTTACCTACCCCGTGGGTAAAGGTTTATGCCGAATGTCTGATAAAGAAGGCTCATTTTATTGAAGCAAGTTTGTAGTTACATATGGAATGTGAGGGTGAATTGTGAAGGCTTTTTTCTCACTGAAAGTGCTCCCAATAAAAATCTGTTTTTAACAAATACATTTTTTGCGTGCAGATGTACTTATAAATATGAAGTCATTGGTTTTGATCAAAAGGCTCTATAACAAATAGTCATTGGTAATCTGTGCCAGGAATTACTATAAAAATATTGAGAACAAGGGCCATGACATCTATGTCATCTATATGAAGCCCCATATAACACTTCTCTTGGAATTTAGGAGGAGGAGGAGGAAACACAAAACAAACAAACAACCACTTCAGTAACTGGATTTTTCTTCGTTATGATGAGATAAATAATTTTAAATTATTGTGCCCTGACTGCCTAGAGATGCATGAACAAATCTAAAATTTAATTATGGTATCTTATCAATTTTTTTTTGTGTGTGTGTGAGGAGGACTAGCCCTGAGCTAACATCTGATGCCAATCTTCCCCTTTTTTCTTGAGGAAGTTTGGCCCTGGGCTAACATCCATGGCCATCTTCCTCTACTTTATATGGGACGCCGCCACAGCATGGCTTAACAAGCAGTGTGTCCGCGCGCACCTGGGATCCGAACCTGCGACCCCCAGGCCGCTGCAGCGGAGCACGTGCACCTAACGGCTTGCGCCACCAGGCCAGCCCCTCAATTCTTTCTATTTTCTTTTTACTTTATTGATTTATTGTTTTGCCCTTAATTGATTTTAATTTTGCCTTTAATTTAAACCACCTGAAATCTATGTTTATACAGCCACAGGTTATAAATTCAATATTTAAAAAATGCACATTAAATATTCTTAAAGCTACTGTGGGAAAGTATG